GGTGCTTCCTCCTGGTCTCCCATGTGGGTGCAGGGCCCAAGCACTTGGGCCATCCTCCACTGCACTCCTGGGCCACAGAAGAGAGCTGGCCTGGAAGAGGAGCAACCGGGACAGAATCTGAACCCCCAACTGGGACTAGAACCCGGTGTGCCTGCCCCGCAAGGCGGAGTGTTAGCCTAGTGAGCCGTGGTGCCGGCCCTAAATTAAGAATTTAAAAAAGAAAGAAAACATAGTTAAAATTTCAGAAATGTGGACTGGCGTTGTGGCATAGTGGATGAGGCCGATGCCTGCAGTGCTGGCATCCTATATGGGCGCTGATTCAAGTCCCAGCTGCTCCACTTCTGATTCAGCTCTCTGCTAAGGCCTGGGAAAGCTGTTGGGCCCCTGCACCCACATGGGAGACCTGCACCCACATGGGAAGAAGCTCCTGGCTCCTGGCTTTTGATTAGCACAGCTCTAATCATTGTGGCCATTTGGGGAGTGAACCAGCGGATGGAAGACTTCTTTCTCTCTTTGCTTCTCCCTCTCTGTAACTCTTCCTTTCAAATAAATAAATAAATCTAAAAAAAAGTAAACTGTCAGAAATGAAAGGAGGATTAGCACTACAAAATTTTCATACTTAAAACAGCAATGAGGAACTGTATTGACAACTTTATGCCAATAAATTCAACAACTTCAGTGGAAAAATTACTTGAAAAACATCAATTACAAAAATGGTCTCAAAATAGAAAACCTGAATGTTCCTAAATCCATTAAAGAAGTTTGGAATTTAAAACTAAAATCCTACACACACACACACACACACACACAGATCCCTTCAGTGTTGAATACAATAAACCAAGAAAAATAAAATAAAAATCCTGCACAAACTCTTTCAGAAAAACATATAAGGAAAAATTGCCAACATTTTATGAAACCACCATTATCCATTGTCAAAGCCATACAAAGATTTAAAGGAAAATGACCAACCTAAAATTATAATCATAGACCCTAAGCCTTAGCAAATTAATTCCAGCAAAATATTTTTAAATTGGCAAACATGTTCAAGTAGGATTATCCCTGAAATGCAAGATTACTTTAACATTGAAGAAAATGGCAGATACAGGTACCATACTTGAATAATGGGGGAAATAACATGATCAGAATAACAAATGAGGGGCCTGCGCTGTGGCATAGCATGTAAAGCCTCTGCCTGCAGTGCAGGCATTCCACATGGGTGCCAGGTGAGTCCCGGCTGCTCTACTTCTAATCCAGCTCTCTGCTATGGCCTGGGAAAGCAGTAGAAGATGGCCAAATCCTTGGAACACTGCACCCACATGGGAGACCCTAAAGAAGCTCCAGGCTCCTGGCTTTGGATCAGCACAGCTCCAGCTGTTGCAGCCAATTGGGAAGTGAACAAGTGGATGGAACGCCTCTCTTCTCTCTGTCTCTCCTTCTTTCCTTCTCTCTGTGTAACACTGACTTTCAAAAAAATAGATAAATCTTTAAAAAATAGAATAACAAATGAGTGTGTACGTGCGTGTACGTGTGTATGGGGGGAGATTTGATCAACTACAAAAATTTTTTATAATAAGAAACAGAAAATTAGAAATAGATGGGGTACTCCTCAATCTAATGAAAGATAGCTTTAAAAATTTAAAGATAACAATACACAATGATAAAGCTTGAATCTTCTCCAACAGAGTATATAATGAACTCAAGAAAATCCAGAACAGCAAAATCAAAAAACAAAAACAATCCAGTTAAGAAGTGGGCTAAGAAATGTCTTCTTAACATGTTATAAGCCTAGGAATCATAACAGAAAAGGATTGAAAAATATAACTCAAAATATTAAAATGTTCTGTAGAATGAAAGATACTTAAGAGAAAAGCAAAAAAATAAAAATAAAAAAGAAGTGGGCTAAGGCTACGAATGAACACTTTTTTCAAAAGATGAAATGCAATTGGCCAAGAAACATATGAAAAGATATGCTCAGGATCACTCACCATCAGGAAAACATGAATAAAAACCACAATGAGGTTTCACTTCACCCAGGTTAAAATGGCTATTACCCAAAAATCAAAAACCAACAAATGATGATGTAAATGTGGAGAAAATAGGTACCCTATTAATTGTTGGGAATGCAAACCAGCACAACCATTATGGAAGAAAGTATGGAGATTCCTCAAAAATCTGAAAATAGATCTACCATGTGACCCAGCCATTCCACTTCTTGGAATTTACCCAAAGGAAATAAAACCAGAAAATGAACGTGTTATCTGTTCTCCTATGTTTACAGTAGCTCAATTAACAACAACTAAGATATGAAATTAACTCATTTGTCCATCAACTGATGATTGGTATATGTACACAATATTATTCAACCATAAAAAATGAAATCCTGTCTTTTGCAACAAAATAAATGAAAATGGAGACCATTATGCTCAGTGAGATAAGTGAGTCTCAAAAGGACAAATATCACATGTTTTCTCTGATTTGCGGTAACAAATATATAGTACGCAAAAAAAGCGTATGAGTGAAATGGACAATTTGAGATTTGATTATTGCTTATAGCCCTTGTCTTTGCTCCTGATGAACAGTGGTTTTCTACATACTACTTGTTGAATTCTTTACTTAGTAGAGGATGAAGCTTCTTATTACAAAGTAATTGAATGTATGTCATTGAAAAATTAAAAGAAAAATAATAAAGGAAGGAGGAGGAAGAGCACAATAAAGGGAGGGTGAGAAGGCAGAGTGTGAAGTATCAATATGTCCTTAAAACTATATATGTGAAACATATTGAATGTTTCCTTAATATAAATAAAGCAAAAAAATTAAAAAATGGGGAATAAAGTAGGATCTCACTTCACTTTTTGCCTATACCGTGCTATCCAAGGAACACCCACAAAAGCAATCACCATCTTTATACCACAAGACAAAAAAACTAAGAAAATTTCTTGTATTTTGTATTCTATTTCAAGCCATTGGCATGACTCTTTCTTAAAATATCTGAATTAGCCAACTTTGAAGAAACCTTCTTTAGTTTTTAACATGTAAAATTATACAACCCTTATTTTTAAACTGAAAGAAAGGCCTATCTTCTTTCTTATTTATTTCTTTTTTCTTTTTTTTAACTTTTATTTAATGAATATAAATTTCCAAAGTACAGCTTATGGATTACAATGGCTTCCCCCCATACAGTCCCTCCCACCCGCAACCCTCCCCTTTCCCACTCCCTCTCCCCTTCCATTCACATCACGATTCATTTCCGATTCTCTTAATATACAGAAGATCAGTTTAGTATACATTAAGTAAAGATTTCAACAGTTTGCTCCCACACAGAAACATAAAGTGAAAAGTAATAGATGATTTTTTAAATGATGATGAAATCAGATCAGACCTAGAAATATTTCTTCATTTTTCTGAAAGGTAGAGAGAAAGAGATTGAGAGTAAGAGCAATGGAGAGAGACAACGTCCATCCTTGGTTCACCCCGTACATGGCCCAACCAGCAGGGTCTAAGTCAGGCTGAAGCCAGGAGCTGGGAATTCCAACCCAATCTCCAATATGAGTAGCAGGGGTGAAGCTCTTAGACTATCCTCTGCTCCCCTTCCAGGCTCGTTAGCAGGGACCTGGATCAGAAGTAGAGTATCTGGGACTGGAACTGGCACTCAGATATGGGTTGTGCCACAACACCAACTCCCTTCTTCTTTCCTATTCTTTTCTACTTATATTGAACATTATACCTGCAATTCAGTTTCCAACTAGCACAAAAGGCTGTAAATAAATACATGCAATACATGCATTCGTGCATACAAGATGGCAAAAGAAGAAAACTTTGTATATTCATATTACATAATTATAGAAAACCTTAATGAGTCTACCAAAAAATCCACTAGAATTCATGTGATTTTGACAAGGCCAAAGAGTAAAGGTTCAATATACAATGACAAATTTGGTGTGCAATTTGAATAATAAAAATGGGAAAAGTAAATTAGAAATGCTATTTACATTTTTTTTAAAAAACATGAAATAACTAAAAAAAAATCCCTATGAAAATATGTGAAAGACCTAAGCACTGAACATGACTAGTCATTACTGGAAATTATTAAAGAAGACCTAAGTGCAAAGATAGGTATACTATACTCACAGTGCAGAACATTCCTTTTTCCCATTAAATGTCTTGGCAGCTTTTTTTTTTTTAAATAAATATTAGTTATTTGCAAGGCAGACTGACAGAGAGAGAAGGAGGGAGAGACACGAAAGACATTTTCCATCTATTGTCTCAATTATTTCTGGAGTCTCTCTCCTCCATTGTTCCACTGCTGTGTAAATATAGAGATAGATAGCTGATAGATGATAGATAGATAGATAGATAGATAGATAGAATGAATGAATGAATTGGATGATTGGGTGGATGAATGTTTGGTTGGATGAATGAATAGGTAGGCTGATAGATAGATGAAAAAATATAATAACACCTGCCATTGGCCCTAGTTCTCTTTCTCTTCTCTTCACCCACTTTGATTGAGTGTCTTCTCTTGATGGCCTCTCATGTGGTCCCATTGTGGCTCCTGAACTCTATTCTCTAGGACCTGTGAGTAATTATACTTTGTTTCCCTGTTTCTCTCCTGTATCCTTCTGCTTATACTTGACTGACTGTCTTACAAAAGAATCCAAAACAATGGTAAAGAAGCATTTCAGGAACTATACAATTGAGAAGCCTCAAACTGTCACTTATTTGATCACAAATGACACAGGTCAAAATCAAGCTTTGGGTAGATTCATAGTTGTATTAAAACAGAAAAGATCTTACAAACATTGTTCATGAAAAAGATGACATGTGTGGTACATGAGTTTCACCCTACATGGTATGAAAATTTAACTCTCTCAAGCAATTTTCGTTCCAGATAACCCTTTGTAGCCAAACCTAGTATCTGAATTTGTCATACTGCCTAGTGTCAGGGCTATTTTGAAACAACTCAAATGTATTTTAAATCATATTGTATAAATAATATTTACTGACCTTTTGTAGACAGCAGCTACTCAGACAAGAGCTACATCTCAGAGCTTTATGTATAGTAATTACATCTTGACCTACGTTGTCGTAAATTGTCATAGTAAAAGGTCTTACAGTCCCACAAATCTTTTGAAGGAACCAATTATTTTTCTCTTCTGCAAAATAAATTCTATGTCCTTGATTATTCATGACATCATATGTTTTACTAATTTCCCAATGACCGAGTTCTAAAGAATGAAACAATATGGTAATTTATTAGTCATATTTATATAAGATGTATAAATTGCATATCAAAGGACTGTGAAATATGCAACTTATATTGGATAGTAAACTACCTGGCTTTAATTATCTTGCTTTCACTTATCTTAGGGTGCCCATCTAGGAAAATGGAAGAGATGGGTTTGCTATCACTATGATTCCTTTCATTGCTAAAATTTTATGCATAGTTCTTTTGTATTATTTTGAATTTCAGTGATGTAAACACATTATGTTTTGAACCAAGTTAAATTTTACTACTCTTTGTCTTATCCTTCCAACAGGATAGTAAAAGTAAAAATAGTTTACTTATGCTAAATTGAGAGAGGTGGGATGCACTCTCTGTTATTCATATAAGATAATAATTAAAATGAACTCTTCTGCAAGCAAAAGGAAGTGTTATCATTTGTTCTAATAATTTTATTTTGGTGATTATAAAAACAAACTAATCATAAAATTTAAGAAAATCTTTTAGGCAGCAAATATTCACTACTGCAGTAGAATGTGGAAACAAAGTATGCATCCAAAAAAGACAACTTGTTGTATCCCCATCTTGAGCATTATTATGTAGCTAATTAAATTCTAGATTTTTATGATAAGGAAACATAAAAATTGAAAGGATACAAATTTCATGGAAAATGATTAAAAGTGATATTTTTTAAATCTCACAAAAATGGTAACCTTAAGAAGCCTTTAGAAAAAATGTGTCAGTAGCTGTGCATGGATAATTTTTTCTTCTCCTTCTTGAAATTTTTCACATGTTCTTAAATGAGTAATATATGTTATTCCAGTGCACATTTAGTATCTCATTTTACTGCTAAACTTTGAAATAGGTAATTATGTATTTTCCTCACATTTTAATGATTTCACCAGCATATGAATATAACTATATTTTTATTTTGTGGCCAATACATTTGAAAAGCATTTATTTTTACTTGATAATGAAAGATAAATCATGATTGAAAACTTATGAAGATACTTTCTGAATGCCTTTTAAAATTAATTTCTTTTTATGCTTAAGAATTGCATATATCTGGCAGAAATTTTTAAAATTCCAAAAGAGCATACAAGAAAAAATAATTTTTTCTTTCTATCCATATCTTTTTTCCCTTCCATCTATAAGTTCATGTATACCTCCCAGAAGTATTCCAAGCATATCCCAAATCTCTCTGTGGTTTAAACACTCACACATACAAACAAACACCCACAAACACCCACTATTATCTGCAATGCATTGCAATTAGTTTTTAACACTTAGCAATATACTTTGGAGATATTCTCCTTAGTAAAACAGAACTATGTTATTCTTTGAAATAATTGAGTAGTTTTGATTTAAATGACATTATAATCATGTAGAGCAGTTCTAAAATTTTAGCCTACATCAGAATCACTTGGTGGGCTTGATAAAGTGCGGATTATTGAACTATAACTCTCAGTTTTCTGACTGGGTGGATCTGTGATGGAGGCTGGGAGTTTTAATTTCTAACATATTCTCAGTTGATGTTTCTGCTTCTATTTCAGGGAACACACTTTGAGAATCACTGGTTTGGAGAACGAGTTCCTTCTGCACTGTGTGTAGATATAGTTCCCACTATATCTGTGACTTCTTAAATTATGAGTAACTGCTGCTATTTCTCTCCTTTGAATTCTCAGACTAGTTTTTAACTTATCTCATGACTTTTGTGACCCCCCCTCCAGTAAGTGTTTTATCTAGGTATATTAGTGCCTCACCCCTTCAGGGTCAGCTCAGATTAGAATCTTCTTTGATCGTGTACGTACAATGAACACATGCATGAATAAGTGATCTTATTATGCTTAAAATATAACGTTTTAGTGACATGCAGCATGAAAACCCGAGAAAATACTATTTTATAATTTGTTTAAATCGAAAAGCTTTTGTGAGTTAAATCACAAATGCCTATTTTAATCCTACAACCATTAATGTATATAAGGAAGCTCATCAATTGTGATAATACAATTTTACAAACTAAACGTTCCTTTTTGTTTACATACTTTAGTTTCATTGGCATGAGGGAAATACTTGTACTAAGTTGGCATAAACACAAAGAGTGGGACTCTAAAGGATAGTTTAATTTCCCAGACTGGAGAGAAGAATTAGACTACTCAGAAACTTAGCTGCGTTCTGCTTCTACCGGCAAAAGTACTGAAGACTCTGGGCTCAGAAAAACCTCTGAGGAATTTAGGATGGAAAAATCATTTCATCAGTTAGACCTACATTTAGCAAAACTGAAAGTGTCGACCAGAATTTTCAAGAATGGTCATGGAGCCTTTCCTATCAGAAGAAAACTGCTGCATTTACCTTCTTACCATCTGAAGACCTCTATATCCTCTTTATGCTTCCATGGTTTAGTTTCCCTCAGATATAAGAAGCACTTTAACTAACAAAAGCACTAACTAAAGCAATCAAAGTATATTGTCAACAATGGATATGTCAGTGTATTTGGTACGTACCTTCCATATCAAAACGTTGACACACTACTAACTGATTTATCTATTAGAATAGAAAATAAAGATATTGGATATGAAGTACTCAAAATAAATTTAAATGCATCAACACAAATGAATACTTTACATTTAAAGTATTTAAAGTAAATGATATGTGAGCTACATTTCTGCTTTTTGTTCTGTTACATGTCTTGCATATTATAGCAGCCTAATATTACATCATAATATTTTACATTAGAAATAGAAAAATGCACAATTATTGGATTATAATTGGTTTTATCTTGTTAGTAGTGTACTCAATATTTTGATTAACAAAACTTTTAACCAATTTTATTAGATTTTTGAGATTCAGAGAGAAATATCTATAGTGTAATTTGAAATAAAAATCTTAGTTTTTATCAAATTTTAAAAAATGCTATTAGTCCAATTCAAGTTTGGGACCAACTTGTAGTTCAGTTTTGAAAATGTCAACCATCTTTTCAAGAAGAAACACTCATGCTTCATTTTTAAAATGTTACAAAATAAGATGTGGCCAAAAATTACAGACATCTGAATTGTCAAAGTTAATTATTCTGGGACAGTACAACAGAAAATTTAATCATAATGGGTAGCATGAACAAATAGTAATTTATTCTCATAACATTTGATTCAGGAGACATTTTTAAATCAGCTTCCATATTTCACATTCACATTTGAAGCTTCTTGTAACAAGCACTAGATGAAATGAGGATTACTGAAGTAAATTTTAAATTACATTCTTGAAATTGAATTTTCTACTCTAAACAGTAGGTGTTTATCTTTAAATGGGTTCCCCAGGAAATAAATTTGTAAGTAACATTGTTGTAACATTTAACATGCTTACTACCTCAAAAATGAACATTTAAATTAAAATATAAAGATCTTAATGTTTAAGTTATAACATTTTAGTTGACAGTCAAAATGTTTTATGGCAGAAAGTATATTCTGAAAAATCTAAGTTCATATTATTATGGATCAAATAATTTAATACATACATTATCCTACCTGAGCCAAATGTTCCAATCCTGGTGGACAATTGGATGTTGTCCTTGGTGTACACATCCATTGTATTGTAGGTTTCATATCATAAGAACTCATAATGTAGATTACATAAATGCCCTAGAGTGACAAATTGCACAGATTTAGTATTATATTTTTTTAAAATCTAGCAATAGAGATGGGACTAGTTATCCTAGTTAGAGATGGGACTCAATTTCAACTTCTGGCTTGGCTTTTCTTCTTTTTATGGTATAAATATCATCCATTCTCTAATTTTTATTGTTTTATGTGGAAATATTTGTGGTTTTATATATGAAGTCTGTCTCCCAACTAAAACCAAAAAGAAATCTTAAGAATACATGAAGTTGGCCGGCGCCGCGGCTCACTAGGCTAATCCTCTGCCTTGCGGCGCTGGCATACCGGTTCTAGTCCCGGTCGGGGCGCCGGATTCTGTCCCGGTTGCCCCTCTTCCAGGCCAGCTCTCTGCTGTGACCAGGGAGTGCAGTGGAGGATGGCCCAAGTGCTTGGGCCCTGCACCCCATGGAAGACCAGGAAAAGCACCTGGCTCCTGCCATTGGATCAGCGCGGTGCACCGGCTGCAGCACGCCGGCCGCGGCGGCCATTGGAGGGTGAACCAACGGCAAAGGAAGACCTTTCTCTCTGTCTCTCTCTCTCACTGTCCACTCTGCCTGTCAAAAAAAAAAAAAAAAGAAACCTCTTTATGTTCCCTGAAGATTCATATACATCCTATGAAAAGTATTTTCATCCCTGAACAAGTCTCCAAAAATTCAATGTATTATAGTTATCTCATAAAATCTCATATAAGTCTCATAAGCTCAAAAGTGCAAAATCTTATCATGTAAATCACATTTTGATTGTGACTGTAGGTATGATCTATCCAGTCAAAATTTCTCCCCAAATAAGAAAACACGTTACTCTTCTCATAGTATAGTGGTAGTAAGGCAATAGGACACCTGTTAGAGACATTTCTGTTCAAATAGAGAGAAAATAGAAAGGAGCACTCATCAACCCCAGTAATTTTGAAATCCAGCACATCAAATTCTGCCAGGTAGCATAGCCTTGGAATGATTCTCTGTGGCTTTCAGTTTCAGCATTTGCATCCAGGACTCTGCGTTCTGGTCCTGAAGCTCTGCCCTTAGCATTATCCTTCGTTTTTATTAAAGGTTATCAAGGCACTTCAGCTGAATAATTTTATTAGGCAGTTTCCTTCCAGTAGAATTTTGTGCTTCCAGTAAATTTATTTCATTTTTTCTTTCTCTATCCTTTCCAATCCAAGCTGGCACTGTTTTTGCTAACCCAACATGCTTAAGAACCTATGGTTCTCCAATATATGCTGTATGGTTTGATATAGTAGATAAAAGACTACTACTCTTGTAGTTCCTTGATAATGCAATTTGCATTCCTGTTTTAGATCCAGAAGTCACACACCTAATCTCTTCAATGACCACATTGTATGATTAAATTTTCTGAAATAGTTGCTACTTCAGAGATACTAGAAAAAGGTTGTTCAACCATTCCCTCCTCTCCAGGGCACACTTTTCTGGTAGTAAGTTTTTCTTTTTTTATGATTTATTCATTCATTTGAAAGTTATACAGAGAGAGGAGGAGAGACAGAGAGAGAGGTCTTCCATACAATGGTTCACTCCCCAGTTGGCCGCAACAGCTGGAGCTGCACCAATCTGAAGTCAGGAGTCAGGAGCTTCTTCCAGATCTCCCATGTGGGTGCAGGGGCCCAAGGACTTGGGCCATCTTCCACTGGCTTTCCAGGCCATAGCAGAGAGCTGGATCAGAAGTGGAGCAGCTGGGACTCAAACGGACTCACATATGGGATGCCGGCGCTGCAGGTGGTGGCTTTACCCGCTATCCCACAGTATCCTCAGTAGTAAGTGTTTAACATTAGTGTCTTGTATATTATGGAAAGGTTGAGAATTTTTCTTTTTCTTTTCTTTTTTTTTTTTTGATAGGCAGAGTGGACAGTGAGAGAGAGAGAGAGAGAAAGGTTCACCCTCCAATGGCCGCCGTGGACAGCGCGCTGTGGCTGGTGCATCACGCTGATCCGAAGCCGGGAGCCAGGTGCTTCTCGTGGTCTCCCATGTGGGTGCAGGGTCCAAGCACTTGGGCCATGCTCCACTGCACTCCTGGGCCATAGCAGAGAGCTGCCCTGGAAGAGGGGCAACCTGGACAAAATCCAGCGCCCCTACTGGGACTAGAACCTGGTGTACCGGCGCCACAGGCGGAGGATTAGCCTAGTGAGCCGTGGCGCCGGCCTGAGAATTTTTCTTAAATCATCAAGTCCTCATTCCTTTTCACTTAAAAGTTCTTTTTTCAAGTTTCTCTTTCTTTTTAAATTGTACTGTAAGCAATAAGAAGAAAACAGGCTACGACTTCAACACTTTGCTTGGAAATCCCAACTAAAATCCAAGTTCATTACTTATAAATTCCTCTTTCCAAATAAATTTAGGATACAAATAAGCTAAACATTGTCTTCATTTATTAAGAAACTTCACTCTTCATGTTTTTGATATCTTCATTACTTTGTTCTGAGCCTCACAAGGAGCAATATCATTACAAACTTAGTGACTTAGCATTGACTGTATCACAGTTGTAAAGTCCAGAAGTCTTAATTGTATCAGCAGGACCTTGATCTTTCTGGAGGCTCTAGGGAAAAAAATGCATGTCTTGCCAGCTTCCAGAGGCTGCCTGTTTTCCTTGGCTTCTAGCCTCTGTCCCCCATTTTCGAAGTCAACATAGGACTTTTCCTCTTTTGCATCTACCTACTTCTTATAAGGACACTCATGATTATATTGAACCACATCTATATTATAGTATGAGCTCTCCATCTCAAGATCATTAATTTAATCAAATCAGCAAAGCTCCTTTTGCCAGGTAAGGTAACAGGATCACAGCATTTGGAGATTATGATATACTCTCTTTTGTCATATATTATCTTGTCAATCACATCATGCCTATTGTGATGAGGAACTATCAATTTTCAAAATTTCTGTAAGGCTGGGTATCAAGGAATGAGAGTAAGAGAATTAGCAATGCTGCAAAGCTAGCTCTAGTTACTGAGATTTTCCTGTTTTACTTGAATAAGTTCTCTTTAGCTTGATACAAATCTTTGTTAATTTTAAGAATTCTGAAAAAATTGATTTGACAATCATTTTTCCTAGTGTTGTGATTGCTTTTGTTGAGGATCAGATTTCCAAGGGCCCTTACTCTTTAACTGGTGAGTGGCTGTGTGTGTGGGGAGAGGCAGGGCGGGAGGGAGTTTGAGAAAAAAATCAGTGTAGAAAGAAAGACTTTCATTTGGAATTAAAAATAAAAATATACTCTTTATGAGTACCAGTAATAAGTTTTTATATGTAAATTTTATGTTTTATATATAAATGGCAAATATACTATTTAAAAATTTCCAATTATTAAAATAAGAACTTTGTTTTCAATAACTACATTTTAGAATAATGTTATATATATTTTTGTGTGTATATAAATAATGTTTAACATTTGTTAATAAATATACATATATTGATTTTTTGAACACACATCATCAAACAAAAAGATACAATCATGCTAGATAAATTGGTGATATTTTGAGTATTTTCTCAGAGAAATTCAACCTGAAGTTGTTGCCCTATTCTAGATTATTTTTAATTTTCTAAAGCAATATATTTTGCCACTGATCTTAAAATACAAAATTATTTTTCAATACTGTCACAATCTAAATGCTTTCTAAGTCATGGGTCTTCAAAGGACAATGATAAGCATACAATTAAAGAAAATGGACAGCTCACCTGAATCCTTAGAGAGAATATGTATCTTATATTATGCTTCAGCCAAATATGCAGGTTTATTGATGCTTTAGGACATTCTGACTTACTCCTGTGATCCTATATATAAAAAAAAATGCTTATCTGTAGAAGAGATTTGAAATTGGCTTAGTGTGGGAGCTTAAAGATCATTCTTAATTCAACTGTCATCTTTGTTTCACAGATCAAATTTATGAGCCTCAGGAATGTTGTCACTTAGCTTTTTTAATGGAACAACCCACATAGCCCAAAGAAGAGGAGGAGCTGCAGTTGATGTGGGCCATGTAATGAGAGGGGAACATGGAGGGAGAACAATGTGTCAGGGCAGGAAAGAGGTGGCCCGTGGAGTGGCACACATCTTACACGAATGGTTAACTGTAAGTTGAAGATGACGTTGGAGGCTCTTTTACTGTGCAACTATGTTATCTGTTTCTCGATTTCTGGATAAAAACATGAAAGCCCACTTTTACTGTGGATATTGAAGCCTGTAGGGGACAGTCAGCAGTCCGTACTAAACCTAGAAACCAAGTCTTCTAAGAAAAGGCAGCAAAAGTATCTCTTACATCAGACCAGGAGCAAAGAGGTACCATTAAAATTGTGGGTATTTTTGCCTGAAGACTCCAATTTCCTTAAATGAGTTAAAAAAAAAAAAAAAAAAAAAAAAAAAACTTGATTGGATGGGTCACGAGGAGGCCGGAGAAGTCAGTTGTAGAGGTGAAATATTCGGAGCACGTTGGTCTCTGGAAACCGCATGTGGAATGGCTAACTTAGATGTCAGTTGGAAGAGATTGGTTCTCTGTCTGGCCCAGAATCCAGTCTCTCAAGGTTGCTGTTAGCTGGACTCTAAAATGGGCAGAACCAAGCAGCCACAACAATAAAGATTCCATTCAGAACCTTGAAGGTAGTTAGTTCTGTGAAAACAACATGTGCCCTGGGACATAAAGCTGATATTACCTGTTGACCTAAAATGATACCAGAGGAATAAGGAGGAATGCAGAAGTGCACACTCTAAATTTGAATAATTGGCAAGTTGAGGCTTCTTTCTCATGGATATACTGGTAGCAGAAGGCCTTACCACTCTTTCTAGAGCAATGAACAAGAAAACCATTTAAAAATTATATTATTCCAGGGGCCAGTACTGTGACTTAGTAGGCTAAGCCTCTGCCTGTGGCGCCAGTATTCCATCCATGTCCTTGTTGCTCCTCTTCTGGTCCAGCTCTCTGCTTATGGACTGAGATGCAATGGAAGGTGGCCCAAGTGCTTGGCCTGGGAGACCAAGAAGCTCCTGGCTCCTGGCTTCAGACAGGCCCAGCTTCAACTGTTGCAGCTATTTGGGGTGTGAACCAATGGATGGAAGACCTTTCTCTCTGTCTCTCTGTCTCTCTGTCTCTGTCTGTGTGTGTGTGTGTGTACATCTCTCTCTCTCCCTCTTCCCCTGCCTGTGACTCTACTTCTCAAGTAAATAAGTAAAATCTTTTAAAAAATTCTATCGTTCCCATATGATGACTAAAGAGTGCCATGTGCTGTCTTCTGTTATTTGCTCCTGTTTTTTGCACTTGAATGTGAATTAGAACATCATCTTTGGTAACAGGATTTGAGCAAAGAAAAGGTCAAGACTTTGCGCATCTAAAAATGGGAGCAAAAATATTCAAGTGGAAGAGCTTTGGAGCAGCTTCAACACATGAGGACCAGGAAGCAGAGTGGTAGAGACACCACGGAGAGCTGCCCCCACCTGATTCCTGTCGTCAACCTCAGCTTTGGACGACACAGTCTTAGACAACTGCAGTCCCCGTGAGTTGACAGAAGAACTTGGACTCCTGTGAAGGGATGCGGGCATGGAGAGCAATCTCTTCCTACCCGACTTGTCATTAAGGCACAGGTCAGGGCTTTTCCTGGGAAGGGACAGAGGCTTAGCACCTCACAGCACTAGCTGCTCAGGACAGAAAGGAGCCCAGGGGCATAGTAGGTAGACACAGGCTGGCACTCAGTGAAAGATGAGCTCAGCCTCTCCAAGAAGGCCCATGTCCCTGAAGTAGATAACTTTCCCCTGGGGAAGACAAACAGCAATCTCATCAGCCCCTCAGCCACACTAGCCTGCTCAAACCCTCCTTTGGGCCAGAAAAGACCAAATGAGCCTCCCAGACCTGTGCTCTCTTGGCTCCTAATTACAGGTTATAGGTTATGGAAAACTGACACAAATAAGTAATTAAAAGACATAGATACATTGAGTCTCATCCCGAAATCTAGTATCTGCAAACTTTTGAAAAACAAAACTATAGCCTCTCAGATCTCTCATCGAGAACTCTTCATGCATTTTGTTTTTTCAGTCACTGAAGATAGTATGTTAATGGCCATACTTTCTACCAGAAACATGAGGTTCTATAAAATCTCAAAAAACAGAATTGTTAAAGGTTAATATTCATACCATGACCCTTATCATTAATTTAGTGGTATTTGAGCCTCAGTTTCTCATATAAGTATTATGATTTAAAGGTTTTTCTAGTTAATACAATTCTGTTATTATGTATTTATTCTTAAATACTTTTTTAAATTCTGAAGGAAGGTTAAGCGTTCAAGCTTTGCTATGCAGAATTACATTGAATCGAAAGTAGAGGTTCACAGTTAAGATAAAATTTCAAGACAACTAAGATTTGGAAAATTAAAATTGGAAAAAATCTGGACAATATGTGAGTAATAATCACACAAAAATGTATTAATTTTTTCAGTAAATAATCCTATATCAAAACTTGAAGTAATCACGGGGGGGGGGGGGGGGAGGAAGCTATTGTGGTCCATAAGCTGTACTTTGGAAATTTATGCTCATTAAATAAATTAAAAAAAAAAAAAAACTTGAAGTCATGTCACAAATATACACAAAGAGCACCTTTTCCTCATTTTAGGTAGTGTATTCTATATTAAAAATATACAGGGACTGGTATTATGGTGTAGTGGGTAAAGCTGACTCCTGTGATTCCCGCTATATGGAGAGTGAACCAAGAGATGGAAGATATCTCTCACCTCTGTCTCTCTGTAACACTGCCTTCCAAATAAATAAAAACGCCTTTAGTGAATCTGAGGAGATATATGTGTGTATGTGTGTGTGTGTGTGTGTGTGTATTCAGATGAAGCTTATAAAATGTATTCACTATTAAGTCATGCAGACAAATCTACATATAAGCTTTTATTAACATTCATGGAGATAAATATAAAGAGAAAATTGGCATATTTATTATGGGGAAAAGTTAAGGTTGACTTTCATTTAGCAAATATTTATCATGGTTCTCAAAACAACAAATAAAAATGTAATCCCTAGGGCCAGCATTGTGGTGCAATGGGTAGAGCTACCTCCTGTAACACTAGCATCCCATATGGGCATCAGCTCCTGTCCTGGCTGTTCCACTTCTGATCCAGCTCCCTGATAATGTGCTTACAAAACAGTGGAAGATGTGCCAAGTGTTTGGACTCCCACCACCCACGTGGGAGACCCAGAGGAAACTCCTGCTTCCTGGCTTCAGTCTTGTTCAGCCATGGCCTTTGTGGCCATCTCGGGAATGAACAAGCTGATGGAAGATCTTTCTTTGTCTCTCCCTCTCTCTCTGGAACTTGGAATTGCAAATAAATCAATCTTTAAAAACATTTAATATTGAGAATGAAGAAATTGTTATTGTTTTATAAATATTAATCTCCCAATTAGAGTATATTCTTAAACATCTACATGATAATGTTATCTAAGTAGAGAAAAGAATCAGTGGTTCATTAGTAATAAAAATAACAGTAACCATACATATTTATTTCATCTTAACAACAGCTCTAGAAAGTAGGACTTACCTATTCACCTAATTATTAAAAAGAGAAATCTGAAGGATAGAGAGACTTCACCCAGGTTTTTGTGTTTTCACACAGCTATAAAGTTCAGGAGCCTGAAGTAAAATCCTGACTGTACGTGGGTTTAAGAAGCATATATATATATATATATATATATACACACAATCTTAGATAGATATACTTTTACCTATTTCTCACATATGATATATGATTGAATTTTCTACTAATTACTTTTAAATTTTGAAGAATGGAAAAAATAACTTTATAAGAGACTGTGTAAGCAAAGGGTTTGACTAACAATAACCCAACAATCGAGTCCATATAATATAAGGGTGGAGGTGAACCTGCAAAACAACAGATTTGTGCCTAATACAAAAAAAATAAAATCCATACATACTCGTATAGTATATTATATCCTGGGAGATTTTTTCATACTAACAAAGAATGGTAAGATTCAATTGTTTTTTTCTTAAGGAGGGGATTGCTTCAATAACACGCACCTACATTTTCAATTTAAGATGAGAAAATGTAATCAATTTGTATGGTCTTAAGTATGTTTCTATTGCTTGGAGAATCCAGTTTTTCAAACTTCAAATCTTGGTTACCTCCAACATTCATAAAATAAATTATGATTTTTTTAGAAATTTATTTATCTATCTGAGGCTGGCACAGCGGCTCAATAGGCTAATCCTCCGCCTGTGGCGCCGATGCACCGGGTTCTAGTCCCGGTCCGGGCGTCAGATTCTGTCCCAGTTGCTTCTCTTCCAGGCCAGCTCTCTGCTGTGGCCAGGGAGTGCAGTGGAGGATGGCCCAAGTTCTCGGGCCCTGCACCCGCATGGGAGACCAGGAGAAGCACCTGGCTGCTGGCTTCGGATCAGCCTGGTGCGCCGGCCGCAGTGTGCTGGCCGCGGCGGCCATTGGAGAGTGAACCAACGGCAAAAGAAAGACCTTTCTCTCTGTCTCTCTCTCTCACTGTCCACTCTGCCTGTAAAAAAAAAAAAAAAAAAAAAAAAGAAATTTTTTTATCTATCTGAAAGAGCTACGGAGAGGCAGAGGCAGAGAGAGAAAGAGAGAGAGAGAGGGAGAGAGAGAGAGAGAGGTCTTCTACCACTTGGTTCACTTTTCAAATGGCCACAATGGCTAGAGCTGGGCCATTCCAAAGCCAGGAGCCTGGAGCTTCCTCCCGGTCTCCCACGCAGGTGTAGGGGCCCAAGGATTTGGGCCATCTTCCACTGCCCTTCCAAGCCATTGGAGAGAGCTGGATCAGAAGTGGAGCAGCTGGAACTTGAACCAGAGCCCATATGGGATGCTGGCATTGCAGGTGGTGGCCACACCTGCTACACCACAGTGCCAGTCCCATAAATGATAAATATTGATAATAAAAGTACCATATGTGGGGGAACTAGAGTCCCAGTTACCAGGAAGTGAGTACTTAACCAAGCTTTAAAACAGAGGGAAAGTTATAGGAATTTTTCACATGTGACTCCTTATTTTATTTTATGTACAACTTTAGGTAAGAAAACTCAAAATCCAAGCTCATTGTTGTTTGATTGGCTCTTTTGTTCTTTAAATTATTCAGCTTCAGAAAGACATAGCTTACCATACTTTATAATTATTTTTTGTTAAAAGGAACATTCATTAAAAGAAAATCCCAGAGAATCTCATCCACACATACACGGATAACATGTCTGGAAGCAAGAAAATGATTATTCTTCACTAATTATTTTATTTTTATTTTACCAGAACTTTACCAAGGGGGTTGGAGGCTGGGAATGTATGGGTTAATTAGTACTTTCTAGAAAAGAAAAAATTGATTTTTACTGAAAACAGTATTTAAATAATATTCCAACAATTATAACCTAGGCAGGAAAGTTACATGAACATTAAATGTCCTACATATCTGTGTTACATGATTTTTATTTAATAAGACTTATATTTTCGCTGTGTAGTAAATGATGTTAATGGTTTTGTATCTATTAAATTGTGGTTGCTGGGCTGGCATTGTGGCCCAGCAGGTTAAGCTGCTGCCTGCAACACTGGCATCCCATATGAATGCTGATTCAAGTTACATCTGCTCCACTTCCCTGACTCCCTGCTACTGCACCTGGGAAAGCAGCAGGTGACTCAACTGTTTGGGCCCCTGAACTCATGGGGGAGAGCTGGATCAAGCTTCAGGCTCCTGGCTTCAGCCTGGCCCAGCCTTGGACATTGTGGCCATTTTGGAAGTGAACCATTGGAAAGAAGATTTCATTCTCTCTCTCTCTCCATTTAAAATAAATAAATATTTAAAAAATTAATTGTAAATGTGGATCTGTACATATGTATGTATGTATATACACAGTTATAATGAATTTTCTTCAACAAACATTAGATTTCAATTGATAATACAATGGTTCTGAAGTTGAGGTCCCAAATCAGCAGCATCAATATGACATTAGAAATTGTGGGGTACAAATGCCCAGGCAGTGCCTGAATCTAACGTATCAGAAACTCTGTAGATAGGCCCAACAATCTATTTTTTAATCATGTTGTACAGTTAATGCACATATGAGAGGTCTTCAAAAAGTTCATGGAAAATACCTATTAATGTAAAAAACTCCATGGGTTTCAAATTTTTTTGCAAAAATAAATGTTTTAATTTAATTTTCCATAAACTTTAAAAAGTATTTTGTTTTAATTTATTTATTAGAGAGACAGAGAGAGAGGAGGGGATAAAGATAAACAAAGAGAGAGCTCCTACCGGCTGTTTCAACCTCAGATGCCCAAGTGGATGATGGGAACTGGGAATTCAATCCATGTCTCCAATGTAGGAGGCAGGAGCCTGGTCATTGAGTAATCACTTGCTGACCCCCAGGGTGTGAATTGGTAGGAATCTGGATTTTTGAGTGAAGCCAGGACTTGAACCTAAATATAGCACTCTGATAGGTGACCTGGATGTCCCACCTGATGTAAACCAGCATGGCAAATGTCCACACCCATCACAAACTTTTCGAAATACCCTTGTGCATAGTTTGACAGCAACTACTGCTTCAAAAGAGTCTTAGCAAATGGGTTAGGGATAATGGATATAATTGATAACTCTTCTGTAACTGTAAGAAAAATTACATTTTTAAATATTTTTAAAAGGCAAAGGCATTAAATAATTTCAGAAAAATTAAAAATCAAGTATGTTAGTCAATACTAGACAACAAGTTAAAAAGCAGAACTCTTACTTGAAAGAGGAAAATCCAGTAACATAATACTAGGTAAATCATTGTGATGTTTACTATCAATATGCCAGACACGGGACTAAGAATTTTTCATATAATATCTAATTTAATTCTCACAAAACCCCATCAGGATTCATTGAGGGCATTAAGATGTGTAACTACATGTAGACTAATTGGTGTTAAATAACTTTCCAAAAGACAGAGTGACTTAAAGGAAATGGGCTCTGAACCAAAACAAGGCAAAGCTGGGATACTAAGTTTAACCGAACACTTCCATAGTCCTAACTTTTAATTATGAGGAATTACTATTGCTCATAAAAATATATTGATTACTTACATTTTTTTTCATAGACAGTTTGCTCACAAAGAATACTTCATGGGTATGAAAAAGTCACTGGTAATTTAGTGTAAGTTGAGACCTTAATGCCTAATCAGACCAGCCTATAAATCAGGTTTTGGTGAGCAAAATAGTTTGCTTGTTTGTCTTTACTCGAGAGACCAAAGTTGGACTGTATTCTCAGTCTGCTTACTCTCATTCCCAGAGATCTTAATACCTGCAGAAACTCTCATTTTTATTACTTACTTAGCACCAGCAGGAAGTTGTATCATGAGCCCTGTTTGAAAGGCTTAGTTTTAAAACAGATCTCTCAAAGATGGGAGATTTCTTTATGCTTCTGTTGGCAACATGTTTAACAGTTGAGCACATTTAGGAATTTCTGTATGAGAATGTCCTGTTCTTCTTAGAAGCCAGAGTGTGATCTGGCAGGAGTAAAAAATGAACAAAAATACAAACAGGATTCATCAGGAGTTGCTTGAGAATTCATGTCACCAAGTTATTTATTTTCTACTTTGAATCATAGATCAGAAAGAGGGCTAATGAATATAGCTGAAGCAGATCTCATGCCGAGTATTCTTTTAACTTTTATGTGAATTGAAACTCCCTGTTCTCCACTCCTTCAACACAATCGATAACTGCAAAAAGTCAGACTGACTTTATGACAGCTCTTTCCACAGTTACCAGGAAATAAACATCCACCATCCCCATATGTTCTGAGGTTTCCCATTTGATGAAATAGGTTAACAACATACAGTACAGAAAACTAAAACAAAGATACACTGCATGATTTACCATATGCTAATTGTCTTTCTAAAGAGTTTTTAAAATTATTTATTTATTTGAGAGAGAAACAGATGAAAAGACACACACATTTCTTATCTGCTGTTTCACTCTCCAAATGCCTGTAATATCTGAGGATGAACTTGGGCTGAGGACAAGAGCAGGGCTCTCAATCCAGATCCTCAGCGTAAGTGGCAGAGATCTAGTTATGTGAGCCATTGTCTGGGTTCTCATTAGCAGGAATCTGGAATTGGAAGTGGAGCTGAGCATCCCTACATAAGACATAGGTGTCTAAAGAATCAGCATTCTAGCTACTAAGTTCAGTGCTCTCCTCTAGCTATGCTAATTCTGACTTGAGTCAACAGGGAAAACAAGAGTTCTGAGATACTTATAATTGTAGTGAGCCTGAGGTCGAGGTACTTTATATATCACAAATATTTTCTCCCTCTTTACCATGGAACAAAATTCTTCAATGGACCACCAGTAATTCCATGTGTATCTACACCTCTAAAGACTCTTGACTTCAGTCCACCTAATTCTTCATATGTCAGATTCCATAAAATAGAATCATGGAGGTAAACTTGGCATAATAGCAGGTTGTAACCTGTACAATAAAACAGGACAGTACCACAAATGAAGAAAGAAACCAAATGAACTACCCTTTAGATAAAGCAGGCATTAGAAACCCATATATTCTTTATAGGATTTGTAATAGTCTAATATTTTTCACTCTAGTTATCAGCATTGTGTGGTAGAATCTCTATTCTCTTGATCCACATAAGGGGGCTTGCACAGTCTCATTTGTAACCAAGACCTAACCTTAGTGTGATCAGGCTCTCCCTTGCCTTGTTATGGGCTCAGGAATATAAAGATTCTCAACATTGCCTCCTTTCTTTCTTGGTTCTACTCCCCCACCCATAGCTATATACTTATGGATAATGGATTTACTATTAACTTAGCTAAGTTAACTCTTTTAAATTGTAAGTAAAATTGATAACCTTCCTACTTTTATACAATATTGAGTCTCCCATTTTTATCAATACTATTCATAATACAATGCTTATTTACACTCCCATCATATTAGATATGACAACAAAATTAACTGTTAAACGAAGATTACTCAATGAGTCATAATATAGTCATCCACTTGATCCACAAAACATACTCCAATATCACTCTCAAAACAAAACTTCCGCTTCTCATCACTTTTTCTATTAAAGAGCCTTAATATAATTATATACATGAAACTTTTCAGACAAAATTAATCAAATAATTTTAAAATAGAGATTGCCCTAGATTATCCAGGTGGATCCCATGTAATCCCATGAAGATGTGGAAAGGGAAGCAGGAGAATTGGAGTCAGAGATGGTAATACTACAATAGAAGCATGTGCCAGTTTTGAAAGTAGAAGGAACACACAAAGGAAGCAACCGAGCTGGTCCCTAAAAGATGAAAAATCAAGAAACATATCTTTCCAACAAAGATCCATACAGACTGAAAGTGAAAGGCTGGAAAAAGATATACCATGCCAACAGAAATGAAAAAAGAGCGGGCGTAGCCATCTTAATATCGGACAACATAAACTTTACCACAAAAACTGTTAAGACAGACAAAGAGGGACACTATATAATGATTAAGGGATCAATTCAACAGGAAGATATAACAATTATCAATGTATATGCACCTAACTACAGGGCACCGGTTTATCTAAAAGATTTATTAAGTGACTTAAAGGGAGACTTAGACCCCAATACAATAGTACTGGGGGACTTCAATACTCCACTCTCAGAAATAGACAGATCAACAGGACAGAAGATCAACAAGGAGACAGTAGATTTAAACGGCACTATAGCCCAAATGGATCTAACAGATATATACAGAACTTTTAATCCTACAGCTAAAGATTTTATATTCTTTATATATATATATATATAAATATATATATATATATATATAAAGATTTATATTCAGCAGTACATGGAACCTTCTCTAGGATTGACCACATACTAGGCCATAAAGCAAGTCTCAGCAAATTCAAAAGAATTAGAATCGTACCATGCAGCTTCTCAGACCATAAAGGAATGAAGTTGGAAATTAGCAACTCAGGAAACCCTAGAGCATACGCAAACACATGGAGATTGAACAACATGCTCCTGAATGAACAATGGGTCATAGAAGAAATTAAAAGAGAAATCAAAAATTTTCTGGAAGTAAATGAGGATAGCAGCACAACATACCAAAACTTACGGGATGCAGCAAAAGCAGTGTTAAGAGGAAAGTTTATATCAATAGGTGCCTACATCAAGAAATTGGAAAGACACCAAATAGATGAGCTTTCAATTCACCTCAAGGATCTAGAAAACCTACAGCAAACCAGACCCAAATCTACTAGGAGAAGAGAAATAATTAAAATCAGAGAGAAATCAACAGGATTGAATCCAAAAAAACATTACAAAAATCAGCCAAACGAGGAGCTGGTTTTTTGAAAAAATAAACAAAATTGACACCCCATTGGCCCAACTAACTAAAAAAAGAAGAGAAAAGACCCAAATCAATAAAATCAGAGATGAAAAAGGAAACGTAACAACAGACACCACAGAAATAAAAAGAATCATCAGAAATTACTACAAGGACCTGTATGCCAGCAAACAGGGAAACCTATCAGAAATGGATAGATTCCTGGACACATGCAACCTACCTAAATTGAACCAGGAAGACATCGAAAACCTAAACAGACCCATAACTGAGACAGAAATTGAAACAGTAATAAAGGCCCTCCCAACAAAGAAAAGCCCAGGACCAGATGGATTCACTGCTGAATTCTACCAGACATTTAAAGAAGAACTGACTCCAATTCTTCTCAAACTATTCAGAACAATCGAAAAAGAGGGAGTCCTCCCAAATTCTTTCTATGAAGCCAGCATCACCTTAATTCCTAAGCCTGCAAAAGATGCGGCATTGAAAGAGAATTACAGACCAATATCCCTGATGAACATAGATGCAAAAATCCTCAATAAAATTCTCGCCAATAGAATGCAACAACACATCAGAAAGATCATCCACCCAGACCAAGTGGGATTTATCCCTGGTATGCAGGGATGGTTTAATGTGCGCAAAACAATCACTGTGATTCACCACATTAACAGACTGCAGAAGAAAAACCATATGATTATCTCAATAGACGCCGAGAAAGCATTTGATAAAATACAACACCTGTTCATGATGAAAACTCTAAGCAAACTGGGTTTGGAAGGAACATTCCTCAATACAATGAAAGCAAACTATGAAAAACCCACAGCCAACATCCTATTGAATGGGGAAAAGTTGGAAGCATTTCCACTGAGATCTGGTACCAGACAGGGATGCCCACTCTCACCACTGCTATTCAATATAGTTCTGGAAGTTCTAGCCAGAGCTATTAGGCAAGAAAAAGAAATTAAAGGGATACAAATTGGGAAGGAAGAACTCAAACTATCCCTCTTTGCAGATGATATGATTCTTTATTTAGGGGACCCAAAGAACTCTACTAAGAGACTATTGGAACTCATAGAAGATTTTGGCAAAGTAGCAGGGTATAAAATCAATGCACAAAAATCAACAGCCTTTGTATACACAGACAATGCCATGGCTGAGGAAGAACTTCTAAGATCAATCCCATTCACAATAGCTACAAAAACAATCAAATACCTTGGAATAAACTTAACCAAGGACGTTAAAGATCTCTACAATGAAAATTAGAAAACCTTAAAGAAAGAAATAGAAGAGGATACCAAGAAAGGGAAAAATCTTCCATGCTCATGGATTGGAAGAATCAATATCATCAAAATGTCCATTCTCCCAAAAGCAATTTATAGATTCAATGCAATACCAATCAAGATACCAAAGACCTTCTTCTCAGATCTGGAAAAAATGGTGCTGAAATTTATATGGAGGCACAAGAGACCTCGAATAGCTAAAGCAATCTTGTACAACAAAAACAAAGCCGGAGGCATCACAATACCAGATTTCAGGACATACTACAGGGCTGTTGTAATCAAAACAGCATGGTACTGGTACAGAAACAGATGGATAGACCAATGGAACAGAATTGAAACACCAGAAATCAACCCAAACATCTACAGCCAACTCATATTTGATCAAGGATCTAAAACCAATTCCTGGAGCAAGGACAGTCTATTCAATAAATGGTGCTGGGAAAACTGGATTTCCACATGCAGAAGCATGAAGCAAGACCCCTACCTTACACCTTACACAAAAATCCACTCAACATGGATTAAAGACCTAAATCTACAACCTGACACCATCAAGTTATTAGAGAACATTGGAGAAACCCTTCAAGATATTGGCACAGGCAAAGAATTTCTGGAAAAGACCCGGGAGGCACAGGCAGTCAAAGCCAAAATCAACTATTGGGATTGCATCAAATTGAGAAGTTTCTGTACTGCAAAAGAAACAGTCAGGAGAGTGAAGAGACAACCGACAGAATGGAAAAATATACTTGCAAACTATGCAACTGATAAAGGGTTGATAACCAGAATCTACAAAGAAATCAAGAAACTCCACAACATCAAAACAAACAACCCACTTAAGAGATGCGCCAAGGACCTCAATAGACATTTTTCAAAAGAGGAAATCCAAATGGCCAACAGGCACATGAAAAAATGTTCAAGGTCATTAGCAATCAGGGAAATGCAAATCAAAACCACAATGAGGTTTCACCTCACCCCGGTTAGAATGGCTCACATACAGAAATCTACCAACAACAGATGCTGGCGAGGATGTGGGGAAAAAGGGACACTAACCCACTGTTGGTGGGAATGCAAACTGGTCAAGCCACTATGGAAGTCAGTCTGGAGATTCCTCAGAAACCTGAATACAACCCTACCATTTGACCCAGCCATCCCACTCCTTGGAATTTACCCAAAGGAATTTAAATTGGCAACCAAAAAAGCGGTCTGCACCCTAATGTTTATTGCAGCACAATTCACAATAGCCAAGACCTGGAACCAACCTAAATGCCCATCAACGGTAGACTGGATAAAGAAATTATGGGATATGTACTCTTTAGAATACTATGCCGCAGTAAGAAACAACCCATTGATTAAATATTAACCTAAAAAGAAACTATTTCTATGGAAACTATGTTAGATTATTTGAAAACACTTATTAAACTTAGCAACTGTGGCCTGTATTGCAGTGTAGCAAGTAAAGCAGCTACCTGCACTATTGGCATCCCATATGGGCACTGGTTCATTTCCCTTAGTGCAAACATTGAAAATCCATGCATACTTGTTAACTAATATATATTTTCCATGAACTTTCTGAAGTTACTTTGCATGGATGTTTGGTGTCTTATTTTAGTCCTATTTTAGTAGGTAACAATCTCTACTTTTGCTGGTGGGAGTATTTTTAAGTAGCATTATTCATCCTTTTGACATGTTGACATCATTCCTTGAGTACTTCCTTGTTCCATAAGTTGCAAAACACTCATCTGATAGTTTCTTGCCATAATTCTGGCATCAACCATTTCTTAAAGGACCTTATTCACTTGAATGGAGAGTACAATCAAGAAGTCCAGCCGGCGCTGTGGCTCAATAGGCTAATTCTCCACCTAGCGGTGCTGGCACACTGGGTTTTAGTCCCCGTCAGGGCGCCAGATTCTGTCCCGGTTGCCCCTCTTCCAGGCCAGCTCTCTGCTATGGCCCAGGAGTGCAGTGGAGGATGGCCCAAGTCCTCGGGCCCTGCACCCCATGGGAGACCAGGAGAAGCACCTGGCTCCTGGCTTCAGATCAGCGCGATGCACCGGCCACAGTGCGCCAGCTGCGGCGGCCATTGGAGGGTGAACCAATGGCAAAAGGAAGACATTTCTCTCTGTCTCTCTCTCTCACTGTCCCCTCTGCCTGTCAAAAAAAAAAAAAAAAAAAAAGTCCAGATCTGGGACTTAATGGGAAGAAGACAATGGGCAGAATGAGGCTTTTTTTGTGTTCTCTTCAAGAGAGAAAGATGAGCAGAGAGAGCACCTATGCAGAATGAGCCCAAGACATTGTATCTGAATGAGGCACATCTTCCAGAAGGAGGAAGTTAGTGGCAATGTCTCTACTCAATGGTGGTTAAGGAACCCTGGGGGACAAGGCTGAAAGTTCTCTATAGGATTTACCATTTTGATCTACATTCCTTAGTCCTTTCAAATGGCTGCTAGTAAAGTGTGCTGAGTTTTAATGAATCCGTTTGATGGGATAAGAAAAAATGAGCAAGATTTTGAGGATACCATGAAGTTAAACCACAGAAACCATGGTACTATTGCCTACGATGCCTGCCATATTGCAATATTTTTGTGAATAAGTAATCATAAGTAGGTCATTTTCATTCATTTTTTTCTGGTTTGTGGTAAATCCATTTACCCAGGAATTGCAATTTCTTTTGGTTGCCAATGCAAACAAACTTTTTTTTGCAGCCTTTTCATTAATTTGAGGCTATATCTAGATTCAAACATCCATTTGACCACTATTTAGCTCAAAATCTAGAGAATGCAGCCCATTTTGCTTATAGACAAGAAAAGTCACCTGGGTAACAATGACAGTTCTGCTACATTTTATTTTTGTTATCTGCAAACAGCTAAGTGTTGTTTTTTGTTTTGTCACAAATTAAGTTTAAAAATATGTTTGTTAAATGCCCTAAACAGCACTCTGGTTTCAGAATCAGCCTATAAGACATTAAGATCTGGCTAAAAAGCCCATAAGAGCATTTCAGGCATGGATAGCCAAGATAATGTGGCACAAAATGACCTACATGAAAGATCTCTGTGAGATCCCAGTGGAAAGAAGGGGCCATCAAAGAAGGAGGTACCTTTCTATGAAGGGAGGAAAGAACTTTCACTTTGATTATGGCCTTGTCTAAATAATATAGAAGTTTGTGGACTCAAGAGGCTTCCATAGCCTTGGCAGTTCATGACAAGAGCCTTGGGTGATCACTGATGTCATAAATAAGAGTGTCAATTGTTAAATCAACAACGGGAGTCTCTGTGCACTTGCTCCCCAAGTATGACCTCTGCCCTTAATGTGTTGTACTATGAGAATTAATGGTAAAACTAGTCTTTAAACAGTATTTCATGTATCTGTGTGGATGCAAACTGTTGAAATATTTACTTAGTATAGAATTGATCTTCTGTATATAAAGATAGTTAAAAACGAATCAGTGAAGAATGGGATAGGAGAGGGAGTAGGAGGTGGGATGGTCTGGGGATGGGAAGGCAGGTATGGGGGGAAGAATCGCTATAATCCAAAAGTTGTACTTATGAAATTTATATGTATTAAATAAAAGCTTTCTATAAAAATGTTTGTTCATCTCTTGGTTCCATATGATTGCTGATTCTGTAGTACTTATACCTAAATTGAAAAATTTAAATTGATGTATTAGTTTCTCAGGTCTTTTTCCACTTGGTGTCTATCTGACTTCTGAGAGAACTTCTAAGTTTATACATCATACTTCACAATGTAGTCATCATGTTTTTCAATTTTATTGAGATTTGACACATCAGAATGTTCCTGTATCTCTATTTGCTATTGTAGGAAAAAATACGTATCATTTCCTCAAGTCACATTGAGATTACAAATTAAGACACCTTTTGGCGGTTCCTGGTGTTCAAAAAATTAAACTTTTTGTACTACTTCAAATTTTTGTATTGTAAATGTAAAACTATTCTGAAATTAAAAATCTGAAAAGTTAAGTTGCTGGTTTTTCATGTTTGATAATTTTTCTTTCTATAATACTTAATAAGAATATATCTATTTAGTATTTGAACTTAAGTGGGTTCCATAGAAAGTATATCAGTTTCTCCTCAAATATTACTTGCATAAGTGAAGAAAGAAGGTAGTATTTAGATCAACTTTAGCTTTACTTTTCTTAGCGAGAGATCCAGAATTGCATGCAAATGACGGGTAAAGCAAGATGTAGTTGTCACAGAGATAATATCAGTTCTTCTAACTTCAACTGGGTTGGATTGAGCAAATCACACTTGGAAAGCCCTCAACTTTTCTATCAGGCATACCTGATGCCACTGGGTCCAGCCATGCAAGTGCCTCGTCATGTGCCCTTCTGCCCACTCCCAATACACACTAGAGGTAAGTACTATGTTTGGTACTTACTAATGTTTAGATAACACTGCATCCCATAATTGAAATATGGCATCTGGAGGATGACTTCAGTCAGTTGGAAAGGTTCTAAACTTTGTTTTCCATAGAGTTCCTTCCTGTTCCATATAACATTTTCATCATTCACCACTTGGAGGTACTGGGACTGGTGGAGATTTGCTATCATGAACATTTAGAAAGAGGCTGTCACTAGAGTTCTACCGAAGATGAGAGTATCTCCCCTGCTCTTATTTCCTAGGCACACTTTTTCCTTGTATGAAACAAACTGTTGGTTGGTCAACTCTTTTCTCAATTCAGTATTCGCTATAAAGCAGATTTTAATGTTCCTTTAAGTTTATGACAGGTAGAAATCCTGGTTTCCAACACTGGTATAAGTTTTACTACAAATAAGCATATGCCTTTGCTGTTTTTAAAGAAAATTTTAAGGGAGAGGAATGTAAATATGCAAGTTCTGATATAACACCTGACTTGATTATCCATATAAAAATTAAATATACAAAAAATCTCCATAAATTTTTATTTTAGGTGTATGTTGATTGATAAAAGTAACCTGAGACCATTAATAAAGTATACTCTTGAAAGGTATACATAAGTCCTATTCAATTAATTCCTGAAGAACCTCATACTTACTGTATTCTGAGAATGATAGAATAAATTCATGGGTAACTAAAAGCTTTAAAAATATCCCGATTTTCGAGCTAAGTAACTCTTTCATATGTGTCCTTATTTTGGACAGACTTAATTTTATTCACTGAAAACCATCATCAAAGATTGGTAATTCATTATACATTCAATATAAAACTATTATTTAGAAGAAGTTAAACATAGTGTCATTTTCCAAAGATTAAAAAACACAATTATATTTATTATTTGACAATATTTATGTTGAATATTTAATAATTTTAGAAGAAACTGAAAGTACATAAATTTTAAGTTTTAAAAGATACAATGTATATTTGTTTTTGCTTCTAAAATAAATTATAACTAGATATAATGAAATAATATAATTTTATATTAGAATTAATTGACTAAATTGTTCAATAAAATGGAAAATCAGACAATAATTAAAAAAGGTTTTTCAAAGGAAGTTTTATGTTTAAATATAAACATTCTTATGTCCTCTCTTTCAAATATACAGTAAATAATCAAAGAAAATGTATAAAAATAAGTATAAACCAGTAATACAGAAAATAAGCTCTATATTTTTAAAAAATGAAATCACATACCTGGAAGTATAGCAGCACAGCTTAATTCATGCAGGTACAAGTGATTTTAATAAGGAAAACCACATTTTTAAATGAATGTGAATATACAGGCTTCAATTATTAGTGGAGATTAATAATCCAGTTACATAAATACAATTTGCTGAACATAGCCTCTACCTTCAAAAAACATGAAATCCTAGATAAAAGAATACAGTAATAAGTTTTCAGTAACAAAACAGATCAGTTCTCAGATGCAGAAATACTAAAGGATCTGATAAAACACAGTGACACATCATCAAATAAGAAATACCTAACCAGAAGGAGTAAACATAGCCAGTGTTTGAACTTCCTTGAATGCCTCATAAATGCTTTTTTACACTGTTAAGTTCAAATTGCTATCTAAACATGATGCACAAACTGTAACAGGTTGGTATATTTAATATTTCTCTTTAGTTTATCTATTTTCTTTGCCACTTATTTATTGAAGGAATTGAGTCCTTTTTGCTGAAATATCTCTTATCTTGATTACATCATGAAATCAATGTTTAAGATACTCATCAAATTTTTTAAACCTTATTGAATATTGGACTCTCCTGAAAGTTCTAAACAGATTGATGCTTTGGTTCTACCTGTACTGATATTATAATTCAGTAGATGTGAGTGCACTCTGGATTTGGGGAGTTTGAAAAGGCACTCAGGTATTTTTAATGTTTAGATAACACTGAGAGTTGCTGTTTTGTTTCCACAATGCTCAACTTTGACTACATTTTGGGATCACCTCGAAAGCTGTACAAACTTGTGGCTCTCTGAGTTTCTGACTTGTTGAATTGGGGCATGGTTTGGTACTTGGGTTTTGAAAAGCTCAGAATGATTAATCTATTCCATGGATTTCTATAAATTAGTAGAGATAGATGCTTGATTGGATATATATGTTTACTGCAATACATACTCCTAAATTGGGTAATTTGACTTTTAATAAAGACATAGATGAAATCTGCATCCATTTCAGCCAGCCTAGGTTGAAGATGTTTTCATGAGCATCAATTTTAATATTTTTAAAAATTTTATTTATTTGTTTGAGGGGCAGAATTACAGAGAGAGGAAAAAGGGAGAGAGAGAGAGAGAGAGAGAGCGCTGTACCACCTGTTGCTCCATTCCCCAAATGGTTGCAATAGCCAGGGCTGGACCAGGCCAAACCCAGAAGCAAGAGCTTCATCTGGGTCTCCCACATGGGTGTCAGGGACCCATGTACTTGGGCCATATTCCACTACTTTCTCAGGCACATTAGCAGGAAGCTGGATCATAAGTGGACCATGGGCCGGCACTGTGGTGTAGCAGGTGGGGCTGCCACCTGCAGTGCCAGCATCTTATATGAGCACTGGTTTGGGTCCTGGCTGCTCTGCTTCTGATGCAGCTCTCTGCTATGGCCTGGGGGAGTGGTGGAATATGGCCCAAGTCCTTGAGCCCTTGCACTCATGTGGGAGATTTGGAGGAAGTTCCTGGCTCCTGGCCTCGGGTTGGCTCAACTCTGATCATTGTGGCCACTTGTGGGGTGGAATAGCAGATGGCAGGCCTCTCTCTCCCCCCTCTCTCTCTGCCTCTGCCTCTTTGTAACTCTACCTTTTAAATAAATGAATAAATCTTTTTTTAAAAAAAAAAAGTGGACCAGCCAGGACTCCAACCAGCACTCATATGCAATGCAAGCAGCAGTTTAGCCCATTGCACCGCAATGCTGGACCCTTAACTGACTTTTTCAATTTTCTCTCTCCAACTCCCAACCAGGACCTTCTCTTGACATAAATTCCTACTTTTGCCATGTGACAATGAATAGACTCTTGGGACCAAAACTAGTCATTTGTGAATCTAAAGTGTCAGTATCTAACAGAATTTCAAGCTAGGTTTCAATGGGAACCCTTGTATAAAACCTGTAAGTTTAAGAAGGTAATCTTAAAATGTACAATGTATTGAATTATTTCAGGATGATTCTAGAGAAGGTATCTATAATGAAGATCAGTAATAATAGACTTACAATGAGGAAACAAGCGCCAAGCACCACAGCTTTCATTGTCCCGCTGAGATCTTTAGGGAACTGGATCTCAATGTTACCGGCATTTATAAAAATCTCTTTCACAAAACCAGATGACTGCTTGGAAATCTTACCAACCACACTATCTTCATCAACAGATTTAATCTAAGTTACAAAACAAAACAAACAAAAATAGCCTTAAAGAATTCTAGAAAACTAATAGAACTACTTTTTAAAATTTTTTAAAGTTTTTATTTATTTATTTGAGAGATAGAGTTACAGGCAGTGAGAGGGAGAGACAGTGAGCAAGGTCTTCCCAATGCTTGTTCACCCTCCAAATGGTCGCAATGGCTCGAGCTGCTTCCACGTGCTGGTTCACTCCCTGATTGGTTGCAATAGCCAGAGTGGCACAGATCTGAAGCCAGGAGCCACGAACTTCTTCCAGTCTCCCACACAGGTGCAGGGGCCCAAGGAGTTGAGCCATCTGCTACTACTTTCCCAGGCCATCGCAAAGAGCTGGATTGGAAGAGGAGCAGCTGGAACTAAAACCAATGCCCATATGGGATGCCAGCGCTGCAAGCAGAGGATTAACCTACTGTGCCACAGCACCAGCCCCGTAAAGCTACTTTCAAAGTTGGAGAAAATTAAAGAAAATTTGAACTAAATTTATGTACCACGTGTAACTATGAATATTATAATTCTCATTTAATGAATACAGGCTGTGTATCTATTTATTTATGGAAGAAAAAAAATTGCCACTGTTCAGAGAACTTACATGAAAGTAGTTCTGCTGAAATACATATTTTCCTAAACACAGCAGTAAATCATATGCCTTGATCCAAAACAAAATTTAAGTGAAAGAGGAAACAAATATGGTATGTTTATTTGATGAAATTTCTGGGAACTCTCAAGACAATCGTGAACAGAGCCACAGTGTGATTTCTGCTGTAATAGAAGCACAGGTTTACATAAGCTGAAAGTTTAAATATGATGGGAGACTTCATTAGTACTCACAGTAAGGAAAGATGAAATACTACGAGCATGAAAAAGAAGATTGACAGTTTTGAGTGAGGGAATGTACTGATTAAGTAACTTGGTGGGGTGCCCCCAGGCCAAGTTTTAGGGTATGACTGAATGACAGATGAAATATGAGCAACAAAGGAAGGGTCTGTATATAGACAGCAAGCTCTAATGCAAGGATTTTCTATTTTTGTAAAAAAAAAAAAAAAAAGAACTGTAAAAATTCTGCCTGACAAAAGCTGAAGCATCATCACACAGAATTGAACCGAATGGAGCCAGACAAAAACTACTAGCCCAAGGATCGGTTTTGTGGCATAGAGGGTAAAGCTGCCACCTGCAATGCCAGCATCACATATGGAAGTCACTGCGTGTCTTGGTTGCTCTGCTTACAACCCAGCTCCCTACTAATGTTCCTTGGAAAGCAGCAGAAGATGGAATAAGTGTCTGGGGCTTTGATGCCCACATGGGAGATCCAGATGAAATTCCTGGCTCCTAACTTTGGCCTGGTGCAGCCCTGGCCATAGTGATCACTGGGGAAGTGAACCAGTGGATGGAAGACCTCTCTCTCTGTAACTCTGCCTTTCAAATAAATACAGAAACCTTTAAGAAAACAAAACAAAACACCTATCTGAGTGGGCAGGTAGGGGTTGAATGTGGTTGACATTCACCAAACTTACGTTCAGATGGAGTTACAACCAGGGCACAGTGTCCTTTTCAAATTTGTGCAAGGTACTGCTTGTGCTGGCAACATCTTTGAGGCCCTTGCTAGGAGCTGTGAAGTAAATATGGGAAAACTAAAAATAGCTGAGTACTTTTTATTTGGATGCTGGTGGATAGATTCTTTAAAAATATGAAATAGGCTGGCATCGAGGCTCACTAGGCTAATCCTCTGCCTGCGGAGGTCAGGGCGCTGGATTTTGTCCCAGTTGCTCCTCTTCCAGTCCAGCTCTCTGCTGTGGCCCAGGAAGGCAGTGGAGGATAGCCCAAGTACTTGGGCCCTGCACCCGCATGGGAGACCAGGAGGAAACACCTGGTTCCTGGCTTCAGATCGGCACAGTGCGTTGGCTTCAGCGCACCGGCTGTAGTGGCCATTTGGGGGAAACCAACAGAAGGAAGACCTTTCTCTCTGTCTGTCTCTCTCTCTGTCTAATTCTGCCTGTAAAAAATATGAAATAAATATCTGAGGTGAAATTATAACTTGGTTTACTGTTCATCAACTATTCATATACTTCTTCTTCCTACTGTGGCTGAAGAATTTCTTTGTGCCTCGATAATTAGACATTGTCTTGTGACTTGCTTGAGCAATGGAATGCTAACAGATGCAATACAGGGAAAGCGGTTTGGTCTGATTCTTGCTCTCGGATGAACAGACACTAGGAAGTGTGATCCACATAGCCTCTACTGCTGCAAATCCGGAGTGAGCTTACCTGTAGCCCTAAACTAGAGCCAGCTATCTGGACCTTAGGTATAACTGCCGACACACATGCAAACCCTTACACATGAGAACAAATGTTTGCTGATTCAAGTCACTGAATTTTAGGGATTAAGTGTGATGCAACACTACTGAAGCAAAGCAGACTAAGAAAAATGCTATTTTGTACATCAGAGTGTTTTTGTACTCAGGGATATCATCTGAGCATATGAAATTAAGAATGAAAATTTACATTTAAAATTTGTTTAAATTTTCAAATATTAAAAAATTAAAAACACAGAATATAATTTATTAGCTACCATAAGCACGCTTCTACATTTAATAGATGCTATTATTTCCCCATTTTGATTTCTACCAGCAAGATATTTTAAAATTCACCAAAATTTATACAAGAAGAAAAGGCATACTTTTGGAGGATCAGAAATATAAAGACCTACGTCTGAAAAGTTATAAAGTCTAGATAGCTTTAAGCCATATTTTGGGTAACATTTTAAAACTGAAAAATCCCTGTAGTAGTAAAATTATTTTAATCTCTGGAAATAATCAGTTGCTATTTGTGATATAATAAATAAAATAGATTTCTGTTCTGGTCTTGCTTCCCGACACGGGACTTTGGATAATATCTCTCTAACTTCCTGAGTGTTAGAAGATTGACTCTTTGACCAAGATTCCTAACACACAGATCCTGGCACAGATTCTCAGCACACAGCTTCAACATCCTTGGCATCTCCTGAGTGATAAGTCTCTCAAATGCAAATGAAATGATAGGTGGTCGGGGCTTCCTTGTGGCCTCAGTATGGGGCCTGTATAATAGAAAAACAAAGTAAAGTTAGAGAGTTGGGTATTTCAGTCTCATCTCTAACCTCCAAGAATGAGAGAAGTGTAGGGATTGAGTTAATTACCAATGAGTAATGGTTTACTTAATTATGCTTATATAACGAAACCTCTCCAAAACTCTGAGTGATAGATCGTAAGACTTTCCATGTTGGTGAACACATCCATGTGCCATGAGGGTGGCTGGTCCCAAATCTTTGGAAACTGAAGCTCCTCTGTTCAAGATGCTTCCAGAACTCACACTATCTCTTCTGTTCTGCTGTATCCTTTATAACACACTGGCAAACAGAAGGAATATGTTCCTGAATTTTAAAATGAGCCAATTTTGAAAACGTGGAGGAGGTTGTGGGAACCCTGATTAATAGCTGACTGGATAGAAGAACTGTATATGTGATTGGTGGTTTCTTAAGTAGAAGACACTCAAGTGGGACTGAGACCTTAATCTATGAGGTTTGTGTTAACTTCAGAGAGTGTCAGAATTAAACTGAGTTGGAGGACACTCAGTTGGTGTCTGGAGAGTTGGAGAATTTTCTGGTATGAAAAAGAAATAGCCGGCGCCGCGGCTCACTAGACTAATTAATCCTCCGCCTTGTGGCACCGGCATACGGGGTTCTAGTCCCAATCAGAGCGCCAGATTCTGTTCCGGTTGCCCCTCTTCCAGGCCAGCTCTCTGCTGTGGCCCGGGATGGCAGTGGAGGATGGCCCAAGTGCTTGGGCCCTGCACCCCATGGGAGACCAGGATAAGCACCTGGCTCCTGGCTCCTGGCTTCGGATCAGTAACTTGGGATGCCCTGTAGTTGACATCTGAGTGCTTGGTTCAGATCCCAACTATGTAACTTCCAGTCCAGCTTCCTGGTAATGTGCATCCTGGGAGAAAACAAGTAATGATTTAGGTACTTGCCATCCATGTAGGAGACAGCAGTGAGTTCTGGGCTCCTGGCTTTAGTTGGCTCAGCCCTGGCTGTTAAAGGCTTTTGGGAAGTGAGCCAGCAGATGGAAGATACTTCTCTCTCTCTGCGTTTCAAATAATGTAAAAACAAATAAAGAAAATAGGAATAGACAAGTGTGATGAAACACTATGGCAAAAACTTTAAATTATGAAACATTTGCCACTATTTCAATTAAAATGTTAACTTGGTAATATTTCCACTATTTCCATTATAATTCAGCTTTTCTGTTGAAGGATGCTAGGGGAAAAGTGAACTATTTGATATATAAACATTGGGTAGCTACCATGATCTCATTTAAAACATTTTATAATACCAAGAAAATACGATATAGACAAAAATATATATCATTTATTCACTATAGCATAATAATAAGTCATTTTTTGATAGGCAGAGTTAGACAGTGAGTGAGAGAGAAAGAGACAGAGAGAAAGGTCTTCCTTCCGTTGGTTCACCCCCCAGATGGCTGCTACAGCCGGCGCGCTGCACCGATCCAAAGCCAGGAGCCAGGTGCTTCCTCTTGGTCTCCCACGCGGGTGCAAGGACCCAAGCACTTGGGCCACCCTCCACTGCCTTCCTGGGCCACAGCAGAGAGCTGGACAAGGAGAGGAGCAACCGGGACAGAATCCGGCACCCCTACCTGGACTAGAACCCGGTGTGCCGGCGCCGCAGGCAGAGGATTAGCCTAGTGAGCTGTGGCACCGGACCGTAAGTCATTTCTATAAAAGTATATTTAAATCAATGAAACAGAAGAGAAAATCTTGAGATACAACCTGTGACTGTTGGTATCACCATATGGTAAGGAAGGTATTTCAATTTAGCAAGAACAATTTATTTAAATAAATAGAGATGTCAATTGCCTTGCTATCTGAAAGAAAATAAACTATGTGCCTATCTTATACTAATAAAGCTCCAGATGAATTAAACATTTAAATATAAATATAAAAAGAGTAGATAAAATGCAAGGGTCTTTGTAACTAAGAGAAACAAACTGTTAAAGTAGATATGCTTGACTACATGAGATTGAAAATTTATGTCTGGCAAATACATACACACATAAATGCTATTATGTGTGTGTTCATAAGCAAAGGTGAACATTTATTTAGGAAAAGTATTGTAAATCTGAGGATATATGCAAGGTAAATATCTCCCAACAATCAAATTATTTTTGTATTTTGACAAGACAAGATAATTCAATAGTTTAAAACACAGTGGATATTAATATACAATGCAAAGAAGAGAAAATACAAGTAACTAGTAAGCTTCATAAAAAATGAGAGAATTTTAAAGATAACCCCTTCCAAACATCAGCCTCTAGATTTCCTTTTTTTGATTGAAGCTTGCAAATGATCTTGCTGAATCTGGGTGTAATTAATTTTGTTTCCTAGTACTTTTTGCATTTCCTGAATCTGAGTATTCATGGCTTGAAATCTTAGCCCTTTATCTGCTTGAATATTATTTAAGTATATTCTCTGTTTTCATTTTTCTTGTAACTCACTTTTACATATGCAGGCATAACTTATTCTAGCTTCTATATTCCTATCTATGTTTTTCCTAGAAATTTATGTTCTTTTTCCTTCTCTGTGTTTTCTTAACAGTGATCATCCAGTATATTAATTTTCTCCTCATCTTTATCTAATTTGGAGTTCAACTTTCCCAATTAAATGAAATTTTTATTGATGACTATTCCTCATTTAAGAGGTTTTATTGGCTTGTTTTCAAATCTTGACATCTTTATTTAGTCTAATTCTTTCTCAATAGGATTTGCTATTCTTTTGTATATTTCATATTTATTTAGCTTTTTATGATTTATTGTAGTTTGCAATTTGGTTTGAATATTGACTCATTGTTGGTAGATTATTTCCTAAGGTGTTATGCAGTTTTTCATTTCATTTTTGTGAAGATAGGCTTTTTGTGTAGCAGTAATATGTATTCATGGTGATCAATAGCTTCATAGTGTGCTTTTGCAATAAATTTTGCTATCTGTATCATCTGTATCATCATTCAGGATCAGTTACAATGTCTTGAGATTCCTGAATCATAATAGTCATATAGATTCAGACATAAAACTCATAGAGGGGACCAACATGGAATATCAGTTTTATGTGGATATTTTTCCCCCTAGCAAAGGACCTGGAATGGGAAAGGCTCCTTTATGAAGGACATGGAATAGAGAACCTACTTAGTTTTCTTCAACTTATTGTGGAACAATTTTCTTACAGCTTCAACTACCATCTGTGTGATGAAATCTCTCTAAACTCTATATAACAAAAGTCCAACATGAGCAAATACAAACCACTATCTTCCTACAAATCAACTGTTTCTCCTATATGATTAGTATTTTTGGCCATTGGTATCATTATTCATTCTGCTTCTTAAACATCTGACATTGGAATGAGAAGATATCAGAATCATCCAAATTTTCTTTCATACTCAGTTGACATCAACTCCATGAATCAGTCCCACTCAGTGTACTTAAAAAATGCTCCTTAAATTATTCTTTCCTTTACAATAATTCCTGCCCTTGCTGTAGTTTATTCTTTTATCTATTTCTCCCTAGGTTTCCATGCCTACTGACGTCCTGATGGATTCCATGTACCACAGTGGACCCTCGTGCTGATAATTCCAACTTTCCACCATTAGCCTAAAGAAAATGATTCAAACGGATCTTTATTAATTCTTTCAAAGACTATACATAGAGGCTGGTGCTGTAACCAGGAGATTAATCCTCTGCTTGCAGTGTTGGCATCCCAAATGCACACCGGTTCAAGTCCCAGCTGCTCCTCTTCCAGTCCAGCTCTCTGCTGTGACTTGGAAAAGTAGTAGAAGATGGCCCATGTCCTTGGGCTCTGGCACTCGCATAGGAGACCTGGAAGAAGTTCCTGGCTCTTGGCTTCAGGTCAGCACAGCTCCAGTGGTTGCAGCCATTTGGGAAGTGAAACAGCAGAAGGAAGATCTTTCTCTTTCTCTCTCTCCCTCTCACTTTCTGTAACTCTACCTCTCAAATAAATAAATAAAAAATCTTTAAAAGAAACTTTAAAAAAAGATTATACATATATATCATCTTTCTAGAGTCAAAGGAGGGACATAAACTTATTACTAAACGGGAGGCTTTGAGACATTTTTTAACAAAGATGAAATCTAATTTTAAAAATATTTATTTTTCATTTTATTCTTTAAACACAGAGACAGACAGAGATATATTCTATCCACTTGCTCATTCCCCAAATGCCTGCAATAGCCAGAGCTGGGCCAGGCCAAAACCAGGAACCTGGGAGTCAGGCTAGATCACCCACATCAGTGGCAGGAAGCCATGTAACAGCCATCACATTCTGCTTTGCAGTGTATACATTAGCTGGAAGCTATAATTGGAAGGGCAGCTGGAATTCAAACTCAGGAACTCCCAAATGGAATTCAGGTGTCCAATGCAGCATCTTACAGCTAAATGCAGAAGCCTACCCTAGCATGTAAAGATTTTAGGATCAAGGCTGGTGCCATGGTATAGCTGGTAAAGCTGCCACCTGCTGTGAAGGCTTCCCATATGGGCGCTGATTGGAGACCCGGCTGCTCCTCTTCCAATCCAGCTCTCTGCTGTGGCCTGGGAAAGCAGTAGAAGATGGCCCAAGTGCTTGGGTCCTTGCACCCACGTGGGAGACCCGGAAGAAGCTCCTGGCTCCTGGCTTCAGATAGTCCCAGCTCCAGCCATTGCAGCCATTTGGAGAGTGAACCTGAAGAAGGAACATCTTTCTCTCTGTCTCTCTATCTCTCTGTAACTCTACCCTGCAAATAAATAAATAAATCTTTAAAAAAAAATTTAGGATCAAGCAAGAGAGTTTCACAATATCATATAATTTTCACAATAGTTTCTGTGTTTAATCACATTTCCCCCAAATAAATCATATGTCAGCTAAATTTCCTTTTCAAAAAGATTTATATATTTGTTTGTTTAAAAGGCAGAGTACCAGAGAGAGAGAAAGAGAGAGAGAGAGAGAGAGATTATCTCACATATCCATGGGTTTACTCCTCAAGTGGCAGTAACAGCCAGATCTGGGCCAGGTCCAAGGTGGTAGCCAGAACTTTCCTCCTGGTTTACCACACAGGTGGCAGTGTCTAAGTACTTGGGCCATATTCAGTTGCTTTTCTAGGAAGCTGATAGGAAACAGAGCAGCTGGAACTTGAACTGTAGCTCTGGAGTTGCAAGTGAAGGTGTAACCTGCTGTGACCGACTCTGGCCCCAGCTAAATTCCTGTTGATATAGTTGCCTGAAGGAGAAATAACTTTTCACTTGTTTAGATTCTTCCTAGGCATGCCATCTCATTCAGGGAGAAGTTATTCTGTATACCCCATTATAAAGTCTTTATCCACATATACTACATGCTCATACATCCACATGTGTCCCTAAACGCTTGTTCATCTCTGTCGTTAGATGATGAAGTCTAAAAGGAAAGAATTCAATTTTATCTAACCGGATATTGACAGAGGAATTGAAAATCATATGAGTAGAGAAGGTAGGCATTAGCAGAATGAAGCTGAAGAGAGGAAAACCTTGGGAAGATGGGGGATACTGTCAGAGTCCACAACTCTTATCATGTGGGAGAAGCCATACTCATCTCTGGGAGATTTTTGCTTCTTCTGTGGAAACGTGGTCAAGCGTATCTAAGTTCTTCAAGAGAATCAGGAAATCAAGATTAAATTACACAATCTTCTGATATTTAAACTTTTGCAACTAGAGAAAGAGTATTATGAAGCCAGGCCATTTGTTGGAGAACTGTTGTAATGAAATTCCTCCAGGAAATAAATATACAGACATACTGTGATTTCCAATGATCCAAATTAATACAAGAATAAAAGAGAGGCCACAAAGAATCATCATTGTGCAGTACGTATCATGCTTTTACCAACTGTCTTAAAACTGTCATTTCATATTTGAGCTTTTTCTGGGAACTCCAAGATGACAGATATCCTAAACACAGCCTAGGGAATCTTCAGCCTGCATTTCAGATTATGGATAGATGCACATGACCGAGTTAGTGTTCTATCTAAAAAAGATAGCATACAGTGTCATCATTCAGAACTCCGTATATAAGTGTTAGATATTCTGTTGGTTTTGTTTAGCATGACTCTGCCTCTCTTTTTCTCATTTAGTAAATCAACACTAAACTTGAATGAATCTGAGTAATAATTACCCCATTATTTCCCTCCCGAGATATCCAGACACAAATACTTGCTTAATGTATGTAAATATCTTGGAAAAATTTCGTTCTACTTCTATTTGGAAAGCAATTCCTATAAACCTTATCACATCTGTTACCTCAAAATTGACTGCTTTACAACAGTTCCATGTATTACATGGGCCAGTAATGTTTAGCACATTCTTTCTCTTCGCATTTTGAATTATAAACATTGGAAGGCGAGGGTGCCAGATCTGCATAACATAACCTATTGGTACACCAGGCGGAGCTTGGACTTTTAGCTACAAAACATAAATACATGTAATTATCATTATCATGTCTAATAATAGCTCTCATTTATTAAGCACTTAATAAATTCCATTGTTCTAATTCACAACACATCCTTACTAAATTGATAGTATTAGCTCCCCTATTTCTAAAATAGGACATGACTAAGAAACAGAGGTAAATTAATTTGTGTCAAACTCCTCAGCTACTATGTGGAGCAGATGAGCAGAAACTCAGACAGGTTCTTCACTGCCCTTAAATATTGGTCTACTATATTTTATTTCTGTACCTGACAAAAATGCCTAAATCACTAAGGAACTGCCTTCGCCAGATGCTTGCCATTTTTTTAGTTTTTTTTTTGTGGACAGGCAGAGTGAACAGTGAGAGAGAGAGACAGAGAGAAAGGTCTTCCTTCTCCGTTGGTTCACCCACCAGTGGCCGCTGTGGCCAGCGCACCATGCAGATCTGAAGCCAGGAGCCAGGTGCTTCTCCTGGTCTCCCATGCAGGTGCAGGGCCCAAGCACTTGGGCCATCTTCCACTGCACTCCCGGGCCACAGCAGAGAGCTGGACTGGAAGAGGAGCAACAGGGACGGAATCCAGCGCTCCGACTGAGACTAGAACCCCGTGTGCCAGCACCGCTGGTGGAGGATTAGCCTATTGAGCCGTGGTGCCGGCCAGAACTGCCTTCTTAAACTCCTTTAACAATTATATGAAGTATAAATATGGACAGAGCCTTTATCACTATTACAGTTTTCAAATATGAGTGTCAATGATGCTATAATGAAAATAAAGTGAGGATTAGAATCTTGGCTCTCTTATTCATTACATAGGCATTTACTACTTTAAATACTGCCTTAACTTCATCTGAAAATGAGAATTTCCTAGTTCCATTTTGAAAGATCAAAAGGTACAATGGGTGTCAATGTGCTGATCAGACTGTAGAGAATTTGCCATCCAACTGTTTTTTCCTCGGATATTCTCATGGATCTAAAATTATGACTAACTTAATTAATATGGAAAATAAAGAAATACATTATTAATAAATTCAATTATTCTCTCAAAGTGAGTATAGTATTAGACAGCAAATAACCAACTGCCTGTACCTCTCTCAGTGCCGTGCTCCCACAGAACCCATGTGGAAGAACAGTTACCCAGGGAGGGCTGATCTTGGGCCAGTGAGATGCAAGCAAAGCCAATATTCCTATAAAGTTTCTGTGCCTGTTTCTCCTGAAATCCTCATTCTGTATGAGTAGGCTGTCAAGGAATATGAAACAAGCAGCTGGTCCTTACAGAGCTGAAGATACTCCCACAAAGGGCATCACTATTGCCAAGGACACAAATATACAAAATGTTGCTTAATAAAGGAGAAGTGGGAAACATAGGAAATGAGTTGTTTTTGTTTTTGTTTTGAAATATCTCCTCTTTCTCATTTACTAGGTTGTACAGAATTGTGAGAAAAAAATTGTGAGATGAATGTTTTTCACCTAATTTTTCCATCTGTGTGGTTTTAGAAATGTATTCTTGGGTAGTCTCATTGGTGCAACTCAACTGACTTGCATTCTGCCTCTCAGAGTAATTTATGATAAAGGATTTACCCTAAGTGCCCTGTGTTTCCATGAAAGTCAGGGACTCTAATGTCAGTCACACAAAGCAGATCACTCAGGGATATAGGACTAACCATCCACTGTTATTCACCTAGTTTTCTTCCTCTACAATTGACTGGGTCCATTTTCCTTTGAATCTCATTTGAATATATGAGTTCAATAAAAAGGTGAAAAGTGTTGTTAAATGACTTTGAGGGGCTGGCGCCATGGCGCAGTGGGTTAATCCTCCGCCTGTGGCACCGGTATCCCATATGGGTGCCGGTTCTAGTCCTAGCTGCTCCTCTTTTGGTCCAGCTCTCTGCTATGGCCTGGGAAAGTGGTCGAGGTTGGCCCAAATGCTTGGGCCCCTTCACCTGCGGGGGACACCAGGAAGAAGTACCTGGCTCCTGGCGTTGGATCAGTTCAGCGCTGGCCGTTGCGGCCATCTGGGGAGTGAACCAGCAGAGGGAAGACCTTTCTCTCTGTCTCTCCCTCTCACTGTCTGTAACTCTACCTCTCAAACAAATAAATAAAATCTTAAAAAAAAAGACTTTGAAAACTACCCTGGTAACCACTCACTGACCTCCTGAAGGAACCAGGGGAAACAACACTTGCTACATCTTAGTGGTCTCTCCAGAGTTATTACTTCTTGGTCCATATTGTTGAAAATCCTCAAGGTGAAAGGTCTGTATGTCCCACAGGTGATTCGTGAATACCACTCAGAATCTTCCACTGCAAAGAGAACCGTCTGTCCAAGGCTGTTCCTCATTTGATACTTGTTATTAGTTAAAAAATTTGCAAAGACTAAAAACAAAAAGAGAAAATAATAGCCATCATTATGTGGAAGAATACCGAATGTACCCTACAATATTATACCACATGGCTATAGCAGTTTTAGATGATGCTCCAGGGAGAAAAGGAAGGACTAGAAAAGATATATAAAGGACTAGAAAATATATATACGGGAAAACCCTAGCTGAGACAAAAGAAAAAGGGAAAAGAAGAGGAGAGGCTACCAAAGGCCAGGAAGTTAAGAGTTCGTATGACAGGCATACAGGAGAAACAAGTACGATCTTCCCAAGTCCACAAATTCTCTCAGAAAGGAAAATTCCACTGTGAGGGCTGGGGCAGTGCTGTGGGTACACACAGCGGGGCTATGTGTTTGGATAAATATCCACTTACCTGGTACAGTTTTGTGTATTATGGAGGAGAATAGAAGATAACTGCTATGTTTATGCTCTGTGAAATGTTGTGGTACAGTACATGAGTTGTTTTAACATATTGTTTCATAAACCAGACTTTCATCTTATATTTATGCATTGTTTGAGCAAAGGCAATGAAAGGGCTTACTTCCGATGCACATGGGTAAAAAGGGAGAGTGAAAATGGGAAGTGAACTAGAACATCAAGTTAGGCACCAGGCACCATGGTTTAAGCCAGTTCAGGAGTAGGGAATGTGAGTGGGGGTGTGGTGGGAAACCTGCTTGGCAACCAGGACTTCATCTAGACCATGGGCCTCCTGAGTGAACTCTGCACAGTACTAGAGTTACTCTCTGCATGAAGGAAGCAGACACTGCATGGTGACACGTGAATGTCCAGCAGTGATTCACACATTGTGTATCTCTCCTTGTTTAGAGCGGGAAGGAGCGAACAATGGTCAGATAACACCATTAACGCCCTTAAATGTCTTTGGTGGGAGTTAGCCCCTGGCATCTGTAGCTTTGATTTTAAGGTCTGCCATGGTCAAGTGTTTTTGAACAAATGTAAAGGCTAATTTAAAATAAAATTTAATTGGTTCTTAAGAACACATCCATTATTCAATTAGTTGCATTATTATGTAGCTTAATCTCCAAAATTTAAATTTATTTGATGTAAAATAATATCAGGGTGCTCACATAGTCTTGAAATTTCCTTCCAGTTTCTTGAAAAATGAGAACAAACAAACAAGAGTCTACAGTTATATTTTTAGCATCTACTGGCATAATGGTGTGCTATAATCTCAGACACTAATGGTAAACCGAGCAATCCTTAACTTTTCATACTACACATGTTAAAGAATAATTCAGTGTGAATGGAAAAAAAAACACAAAAAATTTAAGAATCTCTTTTTAAAAAAAATCTAAAAAATAGATGCAACTAGAGAATATCATGTTCTTCCTCAAATCTAGGAGCTGAAAAAAAAAAACCCCACACACACACCTCAATCTGAACACAAAATGTTGATGACTAGAGTCTGGGAAGACTGGGGCAGATAGAAGGAATTTGGATTAAAAGAAAAAATTGGAGAAGATGAGTGTGGTTTAGAGACTGTGACAAATATATCTTTCTAATACAAGATGACACTAATAGAATAAGCTGAATATAGAACATTTGGGAACTCTTTGTACAACTCCACAATATTTGTTTTGTAAACTTAAAACTTTTCCAAAATAAAAAGTTTAAATAATTAAATAAATGAAATCTAGTACATGTGGAACTTCATATTTTGTGATAAGCATATACATTACACAGATATATAAAGTATATAAATATAGGCAACATAAATGGCGTGCTATGTAATGCATAGTGTCTGGTCTTTTTGGATTTATAATACTAATAATATATTCATATTCCAAATAATAAAATGTTTTTTAAAAATTAGAATACAAATTATCAAAGAAGAAAGTGCTGCTTTCCAGAGCAAACGTAGAGAAACCAAATGAAGTCAAGAACATTAGAATTAGCTAATAATGTACATTATAAGTAATTTAAATATAATGACTGGCAGTCCATCACTGTGCTTGAACAATTCACATTTGAATTTCTGAACATTGGAGATGAGGTGAAGATGAATTTAACAAACATACTCTACAAGATAGCCAGGCTTTCACAGTGCTCGTATCTAGAAGAAAGTCATCAGCTTTCATGAATCTAGCTAGAATTTCATTCCTGTGAGAGTGAGCTGTTGTGAAGCATCTTGTGGCTTCTTGAGTCTATTCTTGGGCCTGGGAGCACAGGACCCCTGGAAAGATCAGGAGGTATGGTTCCGCTCCATAGCAGTGTGCTCTTCTGGGATGGCAAGTCTCCAGACCTGCTGGTGAGCATGCCTCCACCTCTGCAGCGCTCCTGCATCCGAGCTGACAATCCACAGCCCATGGGACAAAAGTTTTCTTGGGTTAATATGAACATCCAAGAGAAACTGTGGGCATGAGTATCCCCATTCAAATTCAAACAGATTTTTCATTGGCAATGCACTAATATAACTGAACTTCAGCTGATGGTTCTATGCCATGTTCAAGGTGATCACAAATGGGAAACACGACTAAAGTGGCAGAAGTCAGGTGAAGTGACAAACTTTTCAAGTTATTTGTAGAGAGAGAGGAGCAAAAGTAAGTCTCCATTGTTTCCTTCTTTGTGAAGCAAAACACTTATAAATAACTAGGTTTATGTTATCACATCATCCAGAAATTTATATTTGTTGTGGTTGATGTGTCTTTTTCTATATAGACCTCGTCTCTTTCTCAAAATGTGGTGATCACAATGAATACATACCATCCAGAAGTCTAATGTCCTGGAGAATTAACATTTCATCCATCTAAATTAAAAAGAAAAGCAAGTTGTAGGTATGTCAGATATTGTTTTTTCAAACAATTAATACTCATGTTTTATTTTTTATTAGCACATATTATCAAATATCAACATTTAACAACATTATCAAATGTTATAATAGCTTATATTGTTCTTTACTGCAATACTAAAGTTAATGTTTTCAATTCAGATATATCTATTGAAAGTATCCACTATGAATTTAGGCAAATTTAAGTCAAATAAAATTGGCTTATTCTGTAATTTCTATGAAAATTATAAAACAATGATCATTCTAGAATAGGTTTAAGAAATATGAAGACTTTCTATTCATTTACAGAACTTTTCCTACAATAATATATATTATTGTGGACAAATATTTTTATTAAAAATATTACCAAACTTTTGGCAAGCATTTCAAAACCGGTTTGCAAATAAAATGCTTCTTTTTCTACTTTCAACACGTTGAGAAAACATTATGATAAGACAACACAATTTGTATCAATATTAGTTCAAAATCTTATATTTTATCTGTATAATATGTTCCCACATGATAAAACAAGTGATCAACAACATCACCAGATAAACTACATGAAATGCAAGTTAAATGTATCTACTCTTTTTTTTTTATTCCTGGCACTCAGGATGAAAAGAAATTAAATATTTCATGTATATAAAAGCTTCTTTGTATGTATCTCTTTAAAAATACTTTATAGCAATATGTAAATAGCTTATCTGCACTGTTAATTTTATAATTCTGCCCTCAAACTATTATTCTTTTAAAGTGTCCTTAATAGCAAAATTTGTAGCAAATGATAAATTCCTTTTGTGATATCTTGTTTTAAAAATAATCTACTTCAAAACATTTCTTGGAGAACTTTGAAGTACTGAACATTATTACAATGCATACTGTTCAAGCAGTTTGTAAGAAGTTGTTATTACAAAGAGTTTAAGAGAGAGAATTCAGGGCTGGCACCATGGCTCACTAGGCTAATCCTCTGCCTGCAGCGCCAGCACCCCGGGTTCTAGCCCCGGTTGGGGCACGGGGTTCTGTCTCAGTTGCTCCTCTTCCAGTCCAGCTCTCTGCTGTGTCCTGGGAGGGCAGTGGAGGATGGCCCTAGTGCTTGAGTCCCTGCAACCGCATGGGAGACTAGGAGGAAGCACCTGGCTCCTGGCTTTGGATCGGTGTAGTGCTGGCCGTGGTGGCCATTAGGGGAGTGAACCAACGGAAGGAAGACCTTTCTCTCTGTCTCTCTCTCACTGTCTATAACTCTGTTTCTCTCTCTCTCTCTCTCACTGTCTAATTCTGCCTGGGAAAAAAAAAGAATTCAGTTACTGAACACTGGTTGAATATCACATATACATATTTATTTGTACATTGGACATATAGAAATCTGTATTCATATTTCACCTATCTTACTTCTAACACAACCTCACATTCTTGAGATAAGCTATCATCTACTATAGCAAAATCCAGGACTTTGTAAAAATTGAGTTTTGCAAACTGCATTTGTAAAATTGAGTTTTTCAAAGAAGAAAAGCAGCACTTTAAAAATTGATTTTATTAATATGAGAAAACAGTGAGTCATGTTGCACACATATATTAATTTTTATTTTGGTATCATTTACTGAAATTGAACTATAAAGTTCACTAGAAGTTTCTTTCAAATGTCAGGAAATTACTAACTTGAGATAAATCATGCAGGATACAGAATCAAGATACCAAGATTAAAAAGACAGCCTCATTTAGGTTTTAAACCCTGAGAAAGTTATATAATGGCTTTGAGTCAAAAGTCTGCTTCATGAAACAATTAGTACCTACACATCACAGAGGTTCTGTAAAGATTAAGTGAATTGATAGATGTATTATACTTAAGACAAAGCTTAACACATGTTTGCTTTTCACTGTTTTCATAGATTATATTAAATATCATACTGGGGCTGGCACTGTGGTGCAGTGGGTTAATGCCCTGGCCTGAAGCACTGGCATCCCATATGGGTGAAGTGTTTGAGACCCAGCTGCTCCACTTCTGATCCAGCTCTCTGCTATGGCCTGGGAAAGCAGTAGAAGATGGCCCAAGTCTTTGGGCCCCTACACCCACATGGGAAAGCCAAAAGAAGCTCCTGGCTCCCGGTTTCGGATCGGTGCGGCCATCTAGGGAGTGAACCATCGGATGGAAGATGTCTCTCTCTCTCTCTCTCTCTCTCCTCTCTCTGTGTAACTCTCACTTTCAAATAAATTTAAAAAAAAATAACAGAAAATACAATTTTCCAAGACTTTCACTTTTTACCTGAAGCATGAATCAAATCTAGAAGAATTGGAGTGATCTATTATTTGAATGTGTTGTTTGGCATTTCTGACCTTAATAAATAGTAAGTATACTAATACATTGACTATTGTCAATAACACAATACAACAGGTTGAGGAAATTATAAAGAAGAGAGATTTGTTTTCAATCAATTCTGGTTCAAAGCTGAGAGGCCACATCTCACAATGAATGCTCTCCTTGCTGACAGGGTACAGGGCAACTGATGGTAAGAGACAGGTACTATGTATATGTCTGAGCCTGCTCTGGTCTCTCTCTCGCTCCTTTTACAAAGTCTGCCATAATTCAATCATGGATGGTCACCCTGATGACTTTAAAAGATGAGTCTAATCACTTCTCAAAGACCCCACCTGTAAACACCATGATTAGTATTAAGATTCTACCCTCTTAGTACTGTACATGGGGATTCAATTTCAACACATGAAAACTTGGGTGACATCTTCAATCACATCCTAACCACAGTACTAAGTACTTAACTATAATTAACTTGGTAAGCAAACTTCAAGTGTTATACATATATATAACATTATATTTTCAATATTATATTCAATATATAGTATAACAATTATTAAATATTATGTAGTATTATATAACTATATAATATATATATATAAACCAATATATATAATTTCAAGCTGGGGATATTATTTTTACTGAGGTTTTATGAAATGCAACCAGAATATTTGGAAATATTAAAAACTACAAATTAAATTATGGACATAGATCCATGCTGCAGACATCAGTAGTTTATTATTTGTTTAGTCCAAACACATTCAGAACGGAAACTCAAAGAATATTTTCCACCTGAAACAAACTAGATTCTGCTAGCATATAATGCTTAACACAGTACAGCAATATAGATGGTAATCCACTCTCTTCTATACATACTAAAGCTAAGAATGTAAAGCCATTTTGATTGCAATAATGTCATGAGGATAGAATGTTACCATCAAAAAATAAAATCTGCAAATAACAGTAACAGTCGATGAATATTTTTACTCTCATCAAAAAAGGGACAGAATGATAACAGTCTACAATAACTTTTATGTTTTATAAGCATTATAATTACAAAAGTAAAATTACCCGACTCAAGCATTCCAATCCCGGTGGACAGTCCAATGGACGTGTTGGTTCTGGCATCCCTAATGCCTCTCCAGTTTCATCTGACAGACTACATCCCGGCTGATTTTGAATAGGAAAGCTGGCAAAGCCAGTGCCTGCATAGCCGGCTGAGTCAGGGTAGAGATCTGCATAGCCAAGCTGGGGTTCTTCATAGGCATCCTCAGTGTCTGAGAAGGAACCCTGGGATTCTAGATAGGCATCCTCAGTCTTTGAATAGGCCAGCTGGGTATCTGGATAGGCAGCCTGGGGCTTTGAATAGGCAGTCTGGGAATCTGAATATACCTCTTCAGTCCCTGGAAAGGTAGTCTGAGGCTCTGAGTGGGCAGCTTGGGAATCAGAGTAGCTAGTATCTCCTGGAAGTCCTGAAATAAGAAACAAGTGAAATAATTTGTATTTACACAGAAAAAATGGCATCATCAACTGTTTCACAATTACTCTACTGTTTGCAAACTTACCATCAGCTCAGAAATTCTGCATGTATAAAAAGTTTTCTTTCAGAGATTTTTTTCAGTGAAATGTCTGTGGCTTTAGAGCCACTTCTATTTTGAAGGTAATTGGCTGTGAATAGAGTTGCTGCACAGCCTTTTAAAATTTACTGTTCAAAAGAAAGATGGAAAAAATGCTTTGATATATGAGGAAGTAAAAGAAAATGATGATCTAGAGTTATCTATATAGATTCTGGAATGTTTTCATGCAAAAGAGAGATGGCATTAGGGAGAAGGTCAAAAATAAAGCCTTTGTGGCAATACTCAAAGGCTCAAAAAGCACTGTAAAGCATGATAATTCTGGAATTCTAATAAATGACATCTATATACAGTTATAGAACTAGGGAGAGTTCTGCCTCACATCCTCAAGAGACGTTTGGCAAAGTCTGGAGATATTTTTATTCATCATAATTGGTGGGGGGGGGCAATTGACACTGGCATCTGGTGGACAGAGGCAAGAGATGCTGCCAAACATATTTATATGCTCAGAACAGCCTCCTAAAAATAATCATTCTCTCCAAAATATTATAGCATTACCATTGAGAAATTTTGGTATAGAGAAAAAAGCAGATCACTTTATCTGGAAGGGCCTGGGTATTTCTTGGGTTTGCAGTTTTCCTGGAGCTTTACCCCATGGTGTATTCTTTCCTTATGTTATTTTAAAAAATCAATTGTGATATTTAGTTTAAAAGTTAGATTTCATAATTTAGCACCCTCTGCTCTCTGGGATATACCTTTTAAGAAATAAGGACAGCAAAAAGTTATAGAAAAATTAGTCTTTAGTCTTTATTAGCAGAACAGAGAAAGTAATTTAAGAATAATGAATATTCTACATATTCCATGTAAATGTATGATTATAGTAAATCTTCACAAACTTATTTTTACAGTAGAGAAAGCAGAAATCCCATGGGAATTGGATAAAATTTCAAAGAACTTTGATCCACAATTTTTTTAACACTAAAGACTATGTAAAATTTAATACTTAGTATAGGCAATTTATTTAAATGGGACACTGATAACACAAATCATACATCATTAGAAATAAGTCTTAACAAATAGATTAACCTCATGTTAATGCCTTACATACAAAATTTTTGTTATTTATTTCTTTCAAAATGAATGCATATTGACAGATGATCTATGAGGTATAGAATTAAATAATATCATCATCAATAAAGAGCCCTGATCTCAAGGAAGACATTTATCAACTTCTGGGAGAAAGAAAATCAATGAATAAAAAATCAGACTGGTGTATGAGGCAGAGACTTTAGATAGATATAATTCATGTTGAGATCTAAAAGATGACAAGGGAAAAGTATTACAGCAATTTATACTGAGAAATGTTCAAGGAAGGAAAAAGCAAATGCAAAAACTGGAGATATCACATTAGCATGTTTGAGAAGAACGAGGAACATCATTAGTGAGAAAAAGAAGAGGGATGGCTGTTAGGAAAGCAATAGGAAATAATACATCTAGGTGGGCCTTCCGTGAGGATTTTGGCTTTTATTCCACGTGTGACTTGCATGCATTGAAGGAATTGCAAAGTGAACAGCAGATTTTCTGTTATATGGAGGATAGCAAACTAAGGCAAATTGCTTACTTTGATTTTCCATGATTTAAGCAGGTCTGAAAAAGAAAAATTGATATTAATATGTCGTCTATAATTCATAGATCAAATACAATTGTTGATACCCAATATTACAAAACTATACAGTCATACTCATGGGATGTTCCCTTTTATTCATCTTGTCCAAACATTTCTGGTCGTTAAAACTCTTTAGGCTCAATGAGACCTTCAGGTTACACTTCTGAGTAGAGGTTAAGAAGTGGTTGGTCGGCCAGCACCATGGCTCACTAGGCTAATCCTCCGCCTTGCGGCGCCAGCACACCGGGTTCTAGTCCCAGTCGGGGCGCCGGATTCTATCCCAGTTGCCCCTCTTCCAGGCCGGCTCTCTGCTGTGGCCAGGGAGTGCAGTGGAGGATGGCCCAGGTCCTTGGGCCCTGCACCCCATGGGAGATCAGGATGGGCACCTGGCTCTTGCCATTGGATCAGCGCGGTGCGCCGGCAGCAGTGCGCCGGCCGCGGCGGGCATTGGAGGCAAAGGAAGACCTTTCTCTCTGTCTCTCTCTCTCACTGTCCACTCTGCCTGTCAAAAAAAAAAAAAAAAAAAAAAAGAAGTGGTTGGTCAGCCCACGATGGTGGACACTTCCTAAAAATTTCCAAGGAGAGGGCCTAATGAGGCAGACAACCATGAAGGAGCACTGTGAGCCTAAGACCCCCAATGGTGACCAAGATAAAAACTTCTACCTTTACAGCCCATAAAATCTAAAGGAATTTTATTCAATTTATAGCTTCCAGGCTAGACTTCAGCAGTGGTCCAGCAGGAGAACAGGAAAGGCTGTCAGTTACATTATTGTGATTAATCTTGAACTTTCTAGGTTCTATGGACCTGTTCTGCCCAACTTGGACAGATAGTTGGACTCAGGATTTGTTCTGTGCCTGGAGTTGCTTTCTGTCAGAGAACCCATGGTCATAGCCAGAGCACACTAACTGTCCAAATGACTCTTTGTACTTAGTTATTTTTACAAGAACAAAAATTAAAAAAAATCAAAACCTAAAGCAAAAACAAACAGAAAACCCAATGTGCTACTCAGTACTTTTGCTTTCTATGACCTTGATCCCATAGTAGGCTTTCCCATGTTCTTGCTATGACTTTCTGTCTCCACTGTAAATCTTAACCCATTTCTCACAGGTCAATCACAATGACTACATCAAGTCTGTTGCCCAACTGATTTACCATTTTTAGAAACATGTGTTAAGGGGGTCAGTGCTGTGGCATAGCAGGTTCCGGTTTGAGTCCTGACTGCTCCACTTCCAATCTAGCTCTCTGCTATGGCCTGGGAAAGCAGTAGAAGATGGCCCAAGTCCTTGGACCCCTGCACCCAAGTGGGAGACCCAGAAGAAGCTACTGGCTCCCAGTTTCAAATCTGTGCAGCTCTGGCCATTATGATCAATTGGTGGGGGGAGGAGCTGAACCAGTGAATAGAAGACCTCTCTCTCTCTCTGTCTCTCTCTCTCTCCTTACCTCTCCTTCTATCTCTGTGTAACTCTGACTTTCAAATAAATAAATAAATCTTTTAAGAAATATAATATAAAGAGAAGAGAGTTATCTTGTACTCGCATTCTAATGTGACTCAGCCTTCTCATTACTAAGTCCTTTTACTAACTCTTCCTACTATACAGTCCTAGTCAGGAAGTCAACTTATCTCTGGACATTCTCAACTAAAATATAGTGTTCTGATCCAATATGGGAAGTGGGATACACAGCAGACTCATCAAATGGCAGATGTCCTAAACAGCACTCTGGCCTCAGAATCAGTCTTCAAGGCATTCAGATCTGGCTAAAATGCCCATGAGAGTTTCTCAGCCATGGAAAGCCAAGGCACTGTGGCAAAACATGACCTAAATGAAAGCTCCCTGTGAGTGAGATCCCAGCAGAAAGAATGGGCCATCAAAGAAGGAGATGCCTTTCTCTGAAGGGAGGAGAGAACTTCCACTTTGACTATGGCCTTGTCTAAATAAGATCAGAGTTGGTGAACTCAAGAGGCTTCCATAGCCTTGGAAGCTCATGACAAGAGCCTCAGGTGATTACTGACATCATAAATAAGAGTGTCAATTGTTAAATCAACAACAGGAGTCACTGTACACCTGCTCCTCATGGAGGACCTCTGTCCTTAATAAGTTGTACTATGAGAATCGACTGCAAATCTTGTTCTCAAACTGTACTCTATATGTTGTGAGTGTGTGTGGGTGCAAACTGTTGAAATCTGTGCTTAAGATGGAGTTGGTCCTCTGTATATAAAATCAAACTAAAAATGAGCTATAATGAAAAGGAGGCGGGAGGGAAAGGAAGGGGGGATGGGAGTAGAGGTGGGAGGGTGGGTATGGGGAAAAGAACCACTATATTCCTAAAGTTGTATCTATAAAAAATGCATTCATTAAATAAAAACTTTAAAAAAAGTCTAAATGGTATTTTTGGATGAAATTAGCATGTGAATCCATTGACTGAATGATCAGATTGCCTTATTCAAAATGGATGGGCTTCACTTGTTCATTTGAGGACTGAAAAAGAAAAAAAAGTTGGAATACAGAGAAATTCACCATTTCTTAACAAATTGTTTGGCTTTATTCTGATTTTCAAAATTTGATACGAAGCCTGGAATATGTATCATTGGATCCCCTGATTCTCAGGCATCAAATTGAACTACATCTCTGGCTTTCCTGGGTTTCCAGTTCACACACTGCTGATGGTGGCAGTTATCAGCATAAAATTCCTTCTACTAAATGTTCCTACAAATGTATATTCTATTGGTATTTTTCTTTGGAGAAACTTAATACAATAGATCTTCTCCAAGGCGTAGCATCAATCAGTTTGGAGAATAGTTGTGAGACGTCTCAATGAAATTGATTGATTTAAGATGATAACTTTAAATAATTGCTCCCATTTGTCTTTACCAAATAACAAATGCTAGAAAGATTTCAGATACAGAAAACCTGCATTTCCTGTTCCCAAAGAAAAGAATTGTAAGTAAATCGTAAGATAAATTGTACTGTTGGAATTATGATTACTGTAGGACAAACTAGGAACTCCACATTGGGGTCTTATTACTGCATCATTTCTTACTGTTCGCTGAGAGCTTTGCAGGAAATTGAGTCCTCCTTACTATATGTACATAAGTACATCTCCATTTAAATCATCATACTAGAAATTATATGTGTGCATTTGCTGCTCTGGGCTATCAGATCATTAGGTTTAGTCAGTGTCTCAGTTACAAATAAAGCAACAATTCCAGTCTCTAGGTAGACTGGATCATTTAAACGCTAATAAAAACTGTAATTACAACCCAAACAAATAAACCACATGTTCAGAGACATCACTAATTAACTCTGGATTGAGTTGAAACTTGGAGCCTTCAGATAGATACTGTCAAAAGAGCAGTTGCATCTGCATTCTTGAATCTGTGGCTTCTTGTTTACATTTTGCTTTTACTGTCTTATGCTTACGATTTACTTCAACCTTAATTTTTTCCAAAGGCACCAAGCTTACAGTCAAATTTATGGATGAAAAATATGGCAGAATTTTCTTGACAATGGTGCATTAACTTCCTCTCTAACAAAGCCACCACATCTTTTCATCTTTTCTATGAATGTTTACTTCCTTCCTAGGTTTTCTTTATCCAACAATTTCACACATATCCTGCATTCTGGAGAGGTCTTCAAAGGATCTGGGCCCTGTTTCTCACTATGTGACCTCCTCCCTCAGCCAGACGTTGGCCTTCCTTACCTCTGTGAATTAATATCCTTTAATACATTTATTTATGTCTCAACTACCCTGAATAATTTTGAGGTTTTATAGTCAAGAATTCTATTTTGTGATTCTGTATATAGAAGTTGTTCAATTTAGCAAAAATTTACCAATGTTATATAAAGAAACTGACAACTGGTTTAAAGAGTTAGGATGATTGCCAAGTGTTGCATGAAAAAAAATTGGTTTTACATCATTCCATGTGCAAATAACTGATTGAGACAGAAGACTTTAGGATAAATAGTGGAATTAAATACTGGAGTGTAACTACTGAACCTATGACATAGAGTATTTCTTGTATGAAGAATTATTCAGGATCACTTTCTTAGTGCTATGCGGAATTGTGGTGTGAAATACATCATTTCTTTTAGTATAGAATAAGAGCTTTAATATAGAAAATGAGCGTATTCTCTTTATTGTTCCCCTCACTAAGATAAAAATACACAAATACACATACAATGAAGCACAACAGCACATATTCCAGTCTTAAAAACCCATTTGTGGATTTCTAGGTGGAAATAAAAAATCATTAGATCACTCAATCCAGCCTTCATCCAGGGATCATCAAAATATTCAGGCAAATTCAGACATTCATATTGTCAGTAATGAAGTCTTCACAATTCACTGCCATCACTTAGTCTCTATAAATTAGACAAAGCTGTGAAATGTGCACTTTTTCAATGCCTGATGTTTCCTTTTGGCTCCTCCCATACCAGTGCATGCTTTCATTGCTTTTTTTATTTATTGAAATCATAATTTTAGTGTTCTGCACACATGATCATGTATCTCATCATGCCGACACACTCATAGACATGAAGACATTTATGGCTGTGAATGTAGGAGTATTTCTGGTCTGGAGCTGGGGTTGGGGAATGAAGAATGCTCCTGACTGTCTTGCCAGCATGTGCAGTATTCACTGGTACCTTTGCTGGGTACTTTGTCATTTATGGTTTCAGCCATGTACAGCACACCAGTACTTCTACCCAGAGTCTGACTTCTTCCCAGAACAGGACTACTGTACCCTACATCATTTTTGAGAGGCATCTTAAGGTGAAAGTTGGACTAGTCTACTATTTTAAGATTAGAAAACTCTATCATAGACCTCTGCAGACAATGTACTTCTTTTTCCAATGGTAGTGGAGGAGAGGGAGGAGAAGGAGGAAGAAGAACAAGGAGAAGGAGAAGGAGAAGGAGAAGGGGAAGGAGAAGGAGAAGGAGAAGGAGAAGGAGAAGGAGAAAGGAGGAGGAGGAGAAGGAGGA